TTAATTTAAATTAAAGTACAGCTCAGTAAATAATAAATTTAGTTGAACTCGATTTAAATTATAAATATTAAATGTAGGCTATAAATAATAAATTTAAATTAAATAAATTATATTAAATACTGAATTTAATACTTTTTCAAATATTGAATGATTTTTCAAAATTATAATAAATAATAATTATCTAAATATAAATTATATTTAGAAATTATTATTATTTAAATATATTTAATAAATTACTATTTAAATGAAAAATTCAATTTTTTTCTTTGAAATTAAATATCAAATATAATTGTTTAATTTAAATCAAATATTAAGTTTAATTTTAATGAATTGTAACGAAATTTTAAACATAATTTATTTAATTATTTAAATCAAGATATCGCAAATGTAATATACTTGGATTAAAATTAAATATTTAACCTAATTGTTTAATTTAAATCAAACATTGAATTTTAAAACTTCAATTGAAATTAAATATTAAGTTGAATAACTTAGTTTCTTTTCTGCCCTTTTTAGTTTAATATAATTAAATTTAATATTTAATAACATTAGTGTCTAAGTTTCACTTCTTTCTTCTTCGTTCAATTTCTCTTTACCACTATTTATTATATTTTATATAAAAAAGAAAAGAAAAACTCCAAGTTTGCAATTTATAATATTAGAATCTTTTTCCGGACACGCGTGATTCTTTTTTTCTTTTCTTATGCGCACAGGTAAGTTAGGTGAGAGTTACAAAGAAATCTATTGACATGACTAAGGTTCGATAACCCAATACACATTTATTGAGATCAGCACGTTCACTTTTCGCCGCAGTGTTGAGCTTAGGAATGAAATTATATCTGTCGTTTTGCCAGAGAATGAACGACTAGTGGCAGTAAATATATAAATATAAATGTATATAGTTATATAGTAGTGCGCGATAGTTGACGATAAGACTTTGTGTGGGTGAGGCCCAAGGTTCCGATTAGCTATTGGCCTCCGACCAGCTTTTAACTATTTCGCTCTAACTATTATACACACATCATACCGCCAAGTGCATTTGATGATCATAAATTCTAATTAGAGATAAAGAGAAAAGAAAAATTAATAGACAAAATAAAATATATATATATATGTCTTCTAGTCCCCTTCTGTCCCACAATAAATGTCTGTCCCAAGTTACATTTTTTATTGGCTGTGGCCAAACTATTTTATTATTTTTAACTATTTCTATTTTCAAACTATTTTATATTTTTACTGTTTAATCTTATTATATTACTATATTTTATTCATTAACCCTCTGCTGAAGCTAACAAACCGTTATCGTCAAAAATTATCTGCGGCCAAACTATTTTACTATTTTATTTTAGTAGAATTCTACTAGAATTCAAATTCAGAGAGTACTTTTATTTAACTCAAAATATATTTTGTGTAAATAAAATTTTTCTCCGCTTGTAATAATAATGTAAATAAAACAATACTGTATATGCGCCAGGTTTGTTTTATATAATTTTTTTTTCTCATGCTTTCTTCTCATATTATGCTAATTAATTTTTAGACAGTAGATAATAAGAAATAAAATAAAAGAATCAATAAAGATAACCCTTCGTGAAAAAGTAAAAAAAAAAAACTATACGAAAGTGTCGAATTGATTTCATCGATAATAGGGTACAAAATGAAAATAAGGAAGACTAAATGGAGCGGAAAATGGGTTGACAGTATAAGGACAAGATGCAGAACTAGGACGAGGTCGAATTTCGTCGGTTTTCAGGGGATGCAGCAGCAGTACTATGTGCTTGAGTGGCAGTACTTATATGCAATGCACGTAAAACGTACACACATATATAGTCGAATAATATACTATATATATGCCTCCTATATATCCCTTGACAAGGGAAACTGTGCGCCACTTATTTGCAGCAGTTTGTACATATATATATGTATGTATATAAATTTCGCACACACTACTTTTCGCAGTTTAATTGCTCTCGTGTAACCTAGAAAAAGAGAGATATATATATACTTCTTTCTATATACGTTCATATGTATACATGAGGCCATACTGTAATTTTCGCGTTCTTTTCTCACTCTCACTACATCCCAGCACTTTAATTGCTTTCAGTAACCAGAAACAATGTACTTAGGTTATCTATATGTACTTTATAATTCTCAACTGTTTTTTTCCACTAGATTTACGTTTCTTTTGTTCGTTACCATACGTTACCATACGTTACCATTCGTTACCTATGTGTAAGGATTTTTGTCTCTTAAAAAAATGCTATTTTTTGTTACTTTTTAGCCAAAGGACACACGGGTTCAACTGTACAAATTCAAAGGAGAAAGAAATCTGAAAAAACAAAAGAGTTGATCTGTATAAATCCTAAGGAGAAAGGTTCAACTTTAGGAAATCTAAAAAACACAAGATAAAACCCAAAAAAACAAGGTCTGTGTCTTTCCAAAAAACAAAGTTATGCATAAAATCAAGAGAACAGAGTTCGAACTGCATGAAAGTATTTCCAAAGAACATCAAAATCCCAACTGTATCTAAAATCCAAAGAAAAATCCCCAAATGTATCGAAAAGAAAAAACCCCAACTGTATAAAACCAAAAAATAAATTTCCACTTTTTTTTAAAAAAAAGCCCTCCATACAAAATCCAACATCATATGAACCCCAAAGAACAAAAATTCCTCTCTCTCTCTCTCTCTCTCTCTCTTAAAATATCGCGAAGCATAAAACATGAGCTCTCTAAGCCCACAAAGACTCAACCTGCATAAAACCCAAGCAATCTACAAACAAGCCGCACACGAATTAAAAACAAATAAGTTTCCGCATATACCATCTGAAAATAAAGACTCAAAAAAAAGATAAACGACAAATAAACGGCTTTAAAAATAAAACGACGACTATAAGTACCGTATTTAAAGATTTTCTCTAAACTCAAATACGAGATAATAGAAACAAAGTTCGAATTTGATAGAAAGTTTATATATCGGAAAGAGCCCTAAACTGAATAGGAAGGAAGAAATTCAAGCAAGTTAGGATGAGGGGGACTACACACGAGGAAGATAATGTTGGCCTGCTTCACAGAGGAGGGCTGCCTGCGCGATGGATCGATGTCGTTGCCATAGCAACCAGCACCGCGATGTGCTCCACTACTGATTATTTATGTCAAGGATCCCTCTACGCTAGAAACTCCGCGAAACGCAAACGCGGATGGAGAAGGGGTGGGGTGGCCTGCAACCCTCGCTGCACGTTTTCTCCTTTTGACCCCTTCAAGCAGACTCCCCTCTTTCTCTCTCTCTATCACTATATATATATATATATATACATAAATGTATTTCTGTGTGTGTGTAGAAGCTACTACCCCCTTAATCTCCCCTCCCCCCTCTGCCGTCGCTTTTTTTTCCTCATCCCTCCAATTCGTGCTCAGAAGAGTGGTTTCGACCCAGTTTCAGCAATCAATACTTAAGCCACGCTACACTAACCTCTCGGTTTGAGTATAAGGGGCTTTATATGCTCCACAATTCAAAGCAACGGGTTCACTTTATTATCTTTCTTTCTTTCTTTATTTTTTTAAGGGGAAATATTTTCACTTTTTATCTGAAAGTTTATTAATTTTCTTCAAAAAGTTATAAATTATAATTTTTATATTTTAGTTATAGTTATAGTGCTTTTTTTCGTACTGCGAGAAAAGTTTGGGTTATATTATTTTTTTTGGGATAATTTTTAGTTGGTAAAATATTCTGCTATACTAATTTATAATATGGTTTGGGGTTAAAAGTTTTATTTGAAAATGTATTCATTAGTTGATTAAGGAATTTTGTTTGAAGATCTAATCTCTAAATTGGAATTAGTCGCTTTTGACTATACAGGGCGATTCGTTTGCATTAAATGAATTAGTAAGAGGACTTTAACTTATAATTCTTATTCAAATCATGAATGAAAATGAATTAGTTTCTTAGAATACAAATCAGTAAATTAATAGTTAAAACACTAATAAAATTTGATTTCTAATTTCTTTTTTTTTTTACTAACAATTGAAAAAATTGTAATATTTGCTAGTAAAATTTTAATAGTTGTTAGTAAAATTATTACTAAATCATTTGATTAACGATTTTTCGTCATTTCATAAATTTCCACTAATTCTTCATATTTAACGTATTAACTATTTTACTAATTTGCTTTTAAAAAAAAGAAAAATTTTGAAATGTATAATTTTGAATTTTAAGAATTTTCGATTTTTTGTACAAGTATGGTGAGGGTAGTTTTTTTTTACCAAAGGGCAAAGTTTAAAAAACGAGTAGGGTGTTTTTGAAGAGTCCAAAAATAATTAATTTAAATCCCATTTGTTTCTAAATTGTTTGAAAATTGAAATTTAAAACATACAATATACAGTAGAACTTCCCTATGTGAGTGATAAAAATTAAATTTATTTGATTTCCATATTTACCCTCCCGAGATGTATATTAATATTTTGTCGATGAAAGCAAATTCGGCTTCAAGTACAGTATTTAAAAACAATAAATTTTTCGTTATAGTTTCAACCTTTTAGCATTTGTACAAAATGCCAAATTTATTTTCGTGTTTCGTTCGAAAATTAAAACAAGTAGTAATTATAATTTTAAGTATCGTGAAATATAGTAGTCGCTCTTTAAATAAACTCCGTATTTTATAGACCTTTATATGATATTTGTTCGAAAAATAAAATGAAATCATCGGAAAAATATTTTCGAAAACCTTTTTGTAACAGACTGTACAACGCTTCATAAAGTCGCACACTTATCCAAATTAATACGTTTACTATACTTCGAAAGTACAATATAACCTAATAATTAATTCAAAACTCCACTTAAATTGTTCACATTGTATACAAAAGGTACAAGTTTAATAATTTGTGTCAAAAACTTAATGACAAATTAGAAAAATTCCAGGTGCTAATTTGCATATATACATATTCTCAGGAAACGTTTAGTTTTCAAAATATTTAAAAATGGATGAAAGAATTATTATCTTTCTTACCTTACTATAAATTTAGTTCCCACGTTGTTTCTTTTCCACTGTTGAGAACAATAAACAATGACAACGACAATATTTGGCGCATCGAATTGGCAAACATAACCTCACTTTCTTATTCGAGAATTTTGGAAATTGACCGACAATAATTTCAGGTCAGAAAATCTAGAATGAAAAAAACCAAACAAGACGTTTTTATTTGCCTGAATATAGTAATTCGAGTTCTAAAAAATTAATGCATTTGCTTCGAATTTTCCCCTTTTTTAACGCACTGACCGAAAGTGACAAAAGTTAAACCCCGACTTAGAAATAAACTTTCAAAGTTTCAATCTCAATTTTTTTACAATAAAATAAAGAATTAATGGCAAGGAAATCGATACTTACTTCTCATTCGATTATTGTCCTCGATCAATTTGACGACGACCGACAAGACGACACAATGCCTGCAATGTGACGCCAAGGAGTTTAATTTTCCTCTTCAGTGCGATAATATCGCCACTCTTCAGATATATTTAACTTTAAAGTAAATTGTACACAATGCAAATTGACTTCTAACTACATATTCAACTTTAATTTCTCTACTTTTTTGAATTAATTACGTATAATTTGCACCATTTGCACTACACGAGACTAATTTGGAGGTTAACTTCATTGTTAATGGTGGCGCATCGAGCGCCATCACGTGACCAAAACTATTGCTCGGTCGGTAATTTACGAACAAACGCCACACCTGATTGGTCCAAACGACCAATGTTAGAAAGTCAAATTCAAAACTTTTAACCAACAGCTATTTAAATAGATTTCAATTAATTCAAATAGAAACAAATTTAAATCAATAGAAATAAAAAATTGTCAATTAAAATTAAATTAATAATAAGTATTTAACATTATACCTTTAAATGTTAAAGTATTTATAATAATACTTTTGGGTAAATGTTTGCGCTAAAGAAAAAAAATAATTCAATTCAAAAATGTCTATAACCGCCATTTTTAATCATCTTTCCTGCCAATGAACGCGCAGTTAACACTCTCGCATTTCGACGAATTTCCCAAATTACCATTAGAAGAGATCCTCCCATAAAAGGAGGGACTTTTAAAATATCCTGCAGCCTCATAGTTTATATAGTGGGTTGTCCTTGATCCTTCAACGTTTTAGATCCAATGGTTTCCCTCCGCTTTCCAGGTAAATCACACTCTTCTCTCTTATATTTTTCTTTCTCTGGTGGCGAGCGAGCAAAAACCAATGGAGAATCGCCTAAAGCAAACGTTCAATCAAAACGTTTCAACTTCAAATCTAAACAAATCCATCAACGATTCCTGTTATTTTAGTTATAAACCGTATCATTTCAAAAAAAAAAAAAAAAAAAATTACTCTTTCACCTTTATTTTATAAAGAACAAAAGTGTATACCTCTGAGCTGAAAATTGAATTAAATAATTGTTTACCAATTGTTAACTGAATGTAACAACAATTTAATGACAATAATTAATCAATAATAAATAATTTGTTTATTTCAAATAAATATTCATTTTTTAATAATAATTTATTCATTATTAATTACCTATTAATTCATAATTATTTATTAGTTCATAATTTATTTATAATTAATTATGAATTAATAAATTAATTTATTATTTATTATTTATTATTAAACTAATAAAAAGTTACTATTATTATTTTATTAATTAATATTAATAAGAATTATTCATAATAATTAATTTATTATTAATATTAATTACTGTATATATTAATTTACCAATTGGTAATTAGTTATAATTTAATTATTAATTAACAAATAATTATGAATTAATAAATTAATGTTATAAATTATTAATGAATGAAAATCCATAGTAATAAAAAAATATTTTTAAATTTCTAACTCTAGTACTAATTTATAAGTTTTATTTATGATAATTATTTATTTATAATTATTTAAAGAATTATAATAATAAATATAATAAATAATTATAATAATTTATGATAAACAAATTATTTAATATTAATATTATTAATAATTATTACCATATTGCATTAATTTATTATTTATTATAAATTAATACTCATTAATAAAATCAATTATATTAATTAACAATTAATTAATGTATAATTAATAAATAAAAAAAAATTTTTAAAAATTAACAATAAAAAAAATTTACCGATACTTAATTAAAAATGTATTAAATAATTGTAATAATTTTAAAAAAAATTATTTATAGAAAATATTATTAATAATAATTTATTTAATTTATTGTAAATTAATTATAGCAGTATTAATAATTATTGTTTTCTATTGTATATTAATAGGTAAATAATTTATTATTAGAAATAAATATTTATTATTATAAATTATTATTTATCATGAAATAATTTTTATTATCATAAATTATTATTTATCATGAAATAATTCATTATTGTAAATTAATATTTATTAATAAATAATTTACTATTGTAAATTAATAAAAAAAAAAACATAAATAATTCATGAGTTTTGAAAAATGAAGAAAAATTATTAAAAATTGATTATGCTGGAAAAATTTAATTTTATGAAGAAAAAATCAATGTCCTCAGATATGGAGTGCAATAAGAAATAATTTTGCAAAAAAGAGAAAAGTGGGTCTCTCTGCAGAAGGTTTACCCTATTCCTGGGAAAGCAATTTCGGGGGGTGGAGATTGATCCACCCGCTCCGACTGTGGCCCTGGCCAAAAAGAGCAGAATCGATTATTTTGTACCAGAAATGAAAATAATTTTCCTTTGTTTCTATTTTTCAATCAAAATTAAACGTTTAAGATGGAAAATTCAGTCTATGAATTTTATTTTTCAATTGAAGGAAAAAAATTATAGAAATTAGTATTTTATATTTTTTTAAAACTCCTAATTTTATTTTCTTGATTTTATCTATATGATTTTTTTAGTTCAATACCTTTTGAATTTTTCAATTCAATTATTTTTTTTTTTGTAATTTCAAGTTAAAAATGGTTTTCAATTTTTTAACTCAATTATTTGTTTAATTGCAGATTAATAATAGTTTTCATTTGTTAGTTTCAATTTGTAATATTTAATTTCAATTTTTTTCTTTTTTTTTAATTTTGCATTGAAGTTTTTAGTTCAATAATTTTCTGTCTTAAATTTGAATTTAATTTTTTAATTCAATTGTTTTTTTAACCTTGAATTTATGAATTAAATCGAATTTTCTTATTGAATTGAATTTTCTAATTTAATTTTTTTTAAATTTATGTTAACAATATGGTTTTTATTTTTTATTCCAATTATTCAATTTTTCAATTCAATTATTTTTTCAAATTTTAAATTAACAATATATTTTATTAATGTTAATTTTTAATTTGTAGTATTTAATTTCAATTATTTTCTGTTTTAATTTTGCTCTAAATTTTGTAATTTGATTATTTTCTGTTTTAATTTTACATGAAATTTTCCAATTTGATTATTTTCTGTTTCAATTTTACATTGAATTTTTTAATTTGATTTTTTTCTGTTTTAAATTTAAATTTTAATATTTAGTATTTAATTTCAATTATTTTCTGCTTTAATTTTAAATTAAATTTCCGAATTTAATTTTTGCCTGTTTCAACTTTGCGAATTTATTCAATTATTTTCTGTTTTAACTTTGAATTTAATTTTTCAAATCAATTATTTAAAAAAGGTTTAAATTAACATTTTTTTAATTTTATCTTTATAATATTTAGTATTTAATTTCAATGATTTTCTGCTTTAATTTTGAATTAAATTTTCTAGCTAAATTATTTTCTGTTTCAAATTAAAAATAAATTTTTTTTGCAATTCTTTTTTTTCAAATTTGAAAAAGAATTTTTGAGAAAGAAATTTTTGAATTTAATTTTTTTTAATTCCCTTATTTTATGCTTTAATTTGAATTTTATTTAGTTTTCAATTTTATTTTAATTTCATTTCAATTATTTTAATTTTATTTCAATGCTAAATAAATAAATAATTATTTCATTTAATTTTGTATTCAATTTTAACTCAAATTTATTATTTTAATTTTATTTTATTTTTAATTTTAATTTGTGATTTTTAATTTAATTTTTGTGTAATTTAAATTTTAATTTACAATTTCTAACTTTTATTTTATCATTTACATTTTTTTTTGCCTTCAACTGGAAAAAATGTTTCTCTTAAATTTCCAAATTGACGTTGATGTTAAGTATAATTAAGCTTGTCAGCCTAAATGAGAACAAGAGTTTGCCAGAAATTTCTTTGTCCTTAATATTAGAAAAATGTTATCTAAGTTATTATTACACACATCACACATTCAATATTGTGAACTGCAGAGAGAGAGAGAAACTTGGCCGACTGGTGGAACTGATGTAAAAGTTTTTCAAGGATATCCGCCGAAGCCTCATGCTTATACTTGGAACCTCCCACGAGATTCACAATGGAAAATTTCATTTTGTTATATGTGACATTTATATGCAGCAAACGCGGATATTATCAATCATCATTCATTGCAAATTAAAATTACTCTCCTGCAAAAAAAAGAAGAAAAAATCAATACGCACATTTGTCATAAATATAAACAAAAAATATTCAACAAAAAAAAAAAATTCAATTTCCAACTACAAAAAGAAATAATTTTACCAAACACCATAAATATCGAAATAATGAATAATAATAAATAATAATAAATAATAATAAATAATAATAAATAATTAATTATAAATAATTATAAATAATTAATAATACTAAATAAATATAAAAATACGAAATTCAAGAAAAAAAAAATTAAATTCTCCAATTTATTTCAAAATTCAGAATTCTTTTCATTTCACAAAATGCTCTGAATTTATTGAAACTATTAAAGTAGTTCAATAATTAACAAACAGGTATAAATTGAATTTATATAAATTGTGAATTTTCAAGAGTTTGAAATAACTGAACGGAGAATTTAATTTCGAATAATATCAGAGAACAATAATATTGTGAATGAATATATACACAAAACTAGATGATTTAACCTTGGAGCAAAATTGGAAAATTTTAATTACAAAAGTGACGAAAAAATTTAGAAAGTAACGAATTTAATATTTTTTTTTTCGTCAGTCAACGATTCGAAATAATAATAATTTTTATTATTTGCACCTGCAAGTATCAGGTGGTTATATATTTTAATGTGAATAGACGCGATGATAAATTAAAACTGTTTAATTTCCGGTTCAGAGTGATTCGTCCTAAAGTTCAAATTTACATTATCATGCTTGAATATTTCAATTAATTTAGTTAAATTGACTTAACGCAAATGAATTTACACAATGAGATACATATTACAGTAATAACGTTAATTACTTTCGAAAAGTGAGTTTCACAAATATTTCATCAAATTAAAGGCTCGTCGATATATTTACTAAATGAAGTTTTGTACTCTTTGTTAACGCAATTATGCAATATTGCTAATTGTTTAATTGTTGATTGTAAATTGTAAATTGTAAATTGTATATTATAAATTTTCAATTTTCAATCGTGAATTGTGAAATTTTCTTTTAATTAATTCCCCGAGAGGGAAAAATTTATTACTTCAAATATATTTCATTGAATTCGAGACTAAAATATTTACTCTCTTATCAATATCAATTGTACTTCTGTTTCGAAAACTAGTCAAATTTAATTACAGAGAAATTAATTTACTCGGTATTTTTCTTCTCGAATTATAATTAAGAGAATTTCTCAATTTTTCTTCAAAACTAGAATTTCTCCATTTTTTATAGTATTTTATTTTTTGTTCTTTATATTTTCAAGAGAAATAAAAAATTTCGAACTTATTTTCAAAAAAATATAAAAATAGTATAAATTCAATTCGACAATTTTTCAACGACTTGAAAAATAGAATTCTAAACTTAAAAAAAAACCGTTAATGAATCGCATCTAAATTTCGAATAATAAATTATAATTGCAAATGGTCGAATTGTGTTTCATTAAAATTCGGTTTAGAAAGGCCGTTAAAGATAAGAATCGAATAAAATAGAATTGCCCTTTGAACGATAAAGACGAGCGTATAAAATGTACATTACAAAATATTTTTCAGCCGCAATACAATTTTTTTTTTTTTTTCGATAATTTTTTCTTATTTTTCCTATTTTTCAAATTCTTTTTCTCTCTTTTTTTCGGAAAAAAGAGAAGAGAAGAAGAGATAAAATAATGAAAAAAAATACAATTAAACTAATCATGCGGCCCTGAAATTTATCTTTTGTAGTTATAATATTAAAGACACGCACATGCGTGGAAACGCCCATACTCATGAAAGATTGCTCATTACTTAGTGAGTACTCGCGATGACTTTAAATCGATCACATTTTCATTGTTCGCATTTTCTTTTATCGAATATTTCTCCAAACAAAATTCTACTTTATTTTTTTCAATTTAATTAATTTAAATTTACTTTTTCCGCATTTCATTTTTAAATTTTATTCAAAGAATATTTATTTCCAAAATAATTATTTTTTCCAATTTGAAATTTATTTAAAAAATAATTAATAATTAAAAAAATTAATATTTAAAATTAAAAAATAAATTATTAGGTATGTATTTAATTAAAATCGAAATTAAAATAACTCCGTTAAAGTCGAAATTTAATTAAAAATTGAAATTTACTAAAATTAATTAAATTAATTAAATTAATTTCAACGTGGAAAAAATTATTTTTACAGAAAAGAAGAGAAAATTGCGAAGAAAATGAATTGTATAAGGAAAAAAGAATTTTTCGATGACAAAATATTCGATATCAATTATTTTGTCGAAAAAGTAATTCACACGAAAATAATTTCACTTCAAAATATTGATATCGAAATATAAATAATACAATATTAGTCTCTCGATAATCAATTAAGTCTCTCGGATTTTAATTTACGGTGAAATAATTTTCTGTACATAATATTCAAATAATTAAAATTCTATATAAAAGGCAATTTTCCGCAATTTATATTTCAATATAATTAATTATTTCAATAAAATTATTATCTCATTATTAAATATATGAAAATATATTTTCTAAAGAGAGTTTTGACGCAAATTAAATGTTATCATCACTATTTGCAATTGCGGTTCTCTGTGTGTTACTGTATCCAATTGAAATGAATTAATACGCTGGCTGACCTGTTCTCTAAAGTGAGTTTGAAATGACGGTTGATAGCTCTCACGAAAATGGCGTAACTTGACAACCAGAATCTCTTCCCACCCGTATTGTGCACACGTGTTACAAAAGGCCTTTTTAATTTCTTGCGTAATGCACCACACGTTTATGTAATTTTTTTTTTCTATTTTTTCTATTTTTTTTTCTTTTAATTATCTTCACAATTCACAAGCTTCACTAGTTTTTCTATATTTCTTTTTTTTCTTTTCGAACGAACATGTGATAATATACGCAACGCTCGAATCTTTATTTTTTCAAGTACAAAACTTCATCTGAACTAAATATCATTCGACGATTTTTTTTTCAGCAAAAAGTTGATCGTTAATTTTTGAAATCATTTTCAAAAACTCTATCGAAAATTATTCTATAATGAAATTTTCAATCATAATTTCAAAAAATGAACAATCAACTTTTGAGAATAGAAATTTTCTGTACAAAAATAAATTTAAATAATTCTTTTTAATTCTGTTAATAAAATTTTTTTGATATGAAAATAAAATTGAAAATTCTCTTTCATCCTGAAAATTGAATTTTTATTAAAATTTTTTATTTTGTAAATAATCTAAAAATAAATAATCTTCTAAATAAAATAAACGATTGTAAAAAAAAACTAGAAAAAGGGAATAAAATTAATAAAGTGAAATATTTTTAAAAACTATTAGAAACTAAAATTAATTAATTCTTAATTTCCAAAATTAATAATCAACTTTTTGATAATAGAAATTTTGGATACAAAAACAAATTTGAAAAAAATTCTCTTTGTTCCGGAAAATAAAAATTTTTTATATAAAAATAACATTGAAAATTTCTCTTTGGTTCTATTTATAAAAAATTTTTAATAGAAAACAAGATTGAATTCCCTTTATTCCTGAAATTTGAATTATTATTACGATCTTTGATTTTTGTAAATAAAATAAAAATGTTTCTATTTTATTCCCTTATTTTCTAAATAGAACAAAAGATTGTAAAAAAAACTAGAGAAAAAGGGAACAAAATTAATAAAGTGAAATATTAGTAGAAACTATTAAAAATAGTAAAAATATTGAAAATATTAAGAATATTAAAAATAGTAAAAATATTAAAAATATTACGAATATTCAAAATATTAGAAATATTCAAGTCATGAGAAAGACGATTTCTATTTTTCATCCTAATAAAAATGAATTTTTCTTCAAGAACATTAATAAATGATTCATTAAAAAAAATTACCGCCTATTATGAAAAATTCATTTCAATCATTTAAATTGCGAAACACGATTTATATTCTCGAAAAGTTATTAGAATTTTCTGTTCATTTCAATTGCTATTCTACTCACAATATTATTAAATAATTACACACTAGTTAATAGTTTAATAATTAATTAATCAATATTACCTAATTAATAATAGTTAATTAATTAATATAAATTTGTAATTGTCAATGATTTAATACTAATTAGTAATAATTAATTAATTTTAATTAATAATAGTCAATTAATTAATACTAATTAGTAATAATTAATTAATATTAATTAGTAATAGTTAATTAACACTAATTAGTAACAGTTAAATCATATTAATAAGTAATAATTAATTAACACTAATTAGCAATAGTTAATTAAGTAATTATCAACTTTTAATTAACAATTTCCCAAATTTTCACACAATTGGAAAAGAAAACCAAAGGATGGATATTTTTTTTGTCTAGGATCGATAACGATGTCATTTTTCGAAACTTAGTCATGTTCTATCTTTATTCTCTAAATTTACATCACTTAATATCCATTCTGTGTTCTTGTGTTCTGTGTGTATGTGAATGTGTTTTTATTTCTCTTATATATGTATGCATATATAATTCAGAAAAAAAACTTAGATCTTATCATACTTCTCACGCTATTCAGATGATAAAAGTAATGATGATTGTTGTGTAATTATTTACAAGTGTATGAGAGTGTATGTGTTTCATTTTTTTTTTTTTTTTTTTGACGAAATTTTTTTTTATATACTATACAATAATAAACTAGTATCATCCGTCAGTGGGAAGTGTCCATGAATATTGATAATTAAAATCCTTCATAAATAAATTGCTGGCCCCCCGAAAGAGCAAAAAAACATTTTTTTTTTTTGTTTAACGATGATAATAATAAATATTCCCCTTCGTATTTTAATTTTGAGCAAATGAAGGTTTTTTGTTGCACATTATCGAAATATATTATACATAAAATGCAAAACAATAAATTTTGGTAAATTTGCCAGCAAATAGTGAAAAAAAAATTGATCTTTTTCTCCCTTCTACGAAAAAAATTATTCGGCCTCTTTTCTGTACTGCAACAGGCAGTCGATTATCGATTGTTTCTTCAGATCAAAGAAAAAAAAAGAATTGAATTTGACAAAAATTGACAAACTCAATAATCGTAGTTCAGATCAGATTTTTTTTTATAAATTAGATTAGTGACTATTCTAAGCTCGTCAAATTCTATTGTAGAAAAAGAAAAAATTACTCGTAATAATTTATATATAGATATAATCGAGTTTCGAAAACGATGCGAAATATGTTTGTAAATGCATTGTTTTTTTTTCTGTTTGTTCTGCGAGGCCTGAAAAAACTAGATAATCGGAAGCTGCACTCAAATATAAATTCGATCGCGATCGATAAATGATTTTCAAAAAAGCACCTTTTTCAATCATTGGACATTCAAGCGGACATCAATTGCTTCTGGTTTTCTCCTCCTTCAAGAGCAGCCACATGATCAGGTTTCTCTCCACGACTATATCGCTCCCACATTTTCTTGTACAGCATTTCCATTCCCAGGGCGTACATTTTGCAGCTGAACAATGGACTCTCAGATCGTGCCTTCCAAACTTTAGCACGTATCGCCTTCAAACTGTAAAAAAAATAGAAACTTTCATTATTTTTCTATTTGGCAAAAAAAAGAAATGAATATTAAATTTCTTTTTTAAATATTGAACAATTATTTAATTTTTTGAGAAATTTTCTTTTCAATGATCATTCCAATTGATCGTTTTCTCTTTTCTACACGAAAAGAGAAAAAATACAATATTTTATAAAAGTATTTTACAATTTGGAGAGAAAATGCAACAAAGGGAAATTTTGAAACAAAAAATACTAAAACTTCAAAAAAAGGAAATTTAGCATTTTTTATATCAAAAAAATTTCCATTTGTCGCATTTTCTCCACAAATTGTTAAATATTTTTACAAAATTAAGTTAATTCAATAAATTAAATTAAATAAATTTAATTAAATAAATTTAATTAAAATAATATTAAAAATATTTAAATTCTTATAAAGAGTTTTATCAAATTTTTTTTTAAAAATTGAATTCTTTCGAGAAATGTTCATAACTATAAAAATAATTGAAATCTTGATAAGAATTTTATTAAAATTCTAATAAAAATAAGCGAAATCTTATAAAGAATTGGACAAAAATTTTTCAATATAATTAAATTTCTTGGGAAAAATTTAAATAAAATCTTTAACAATAAGTTAATTCATACGAAAAATTTAATTAAAATAATATTTAAAATATTTAAATTCATATAAAGACTTTTATCAAAATTTTTAAAAATAGTTGAATTGTTTCGAGAAATTTAATTACAATTTTGTTTTTAAACTTAATTGAATTTTTTCGAGAAATGCTCATAATTATGAAAATAATTGAAATCTTGGTAAGAATTTTATTAAAATTCTATTAAAAATAAGTGAAATCTTATAATAAAGAGTTTTACCAAAATTTTTCAAAATAATTGAATTTCTGCGAAGAATTTTAATATTTAGGAATAGAATTAAATTTTTTCAAAGTATTTAATTCAATTTTTGCTAAGAATTTTACTAAAATTCTTTAAAAAAATCTTTCAAAATCTTTCAAAATCTTTCAAAAAATTGAATTCAAGCAAAGAATTTGTATTCTTTATTAAAATAATTGAATTCTAGTTATGAATTTTATTGAAATTATTCAAAGTAATAAAATTTTTGAGAATTTGATTGAAATTCTTTAAAATCCTACTTAAATTCCTGCGAAGAATTTGATTAATTACGAAAATAATTCAAATACCATAAATAATTTTATCAAAAGTTTTTTTAAGTAATTCAAATTCTCCAAAGAATTTCATTAAAATTCTTTAAAATAATTAAATTCATGAGAAAAATTATATAAATTTTTGAAAATAATTGAAATCTTTCTGAGAATTTAATTAAAATTTTCGAAAATAATTGAATTTTCTAGGAGGAATTCAATGAAAATTGAAAATATTTCAATTCTCATAAAGAATTAAATCATAACTTTGAAAAATAATTGAATTTTTTACAAGAATTTTATCAAATTTTTTAAAAATAATTGATTTCTTTTGAGAAATTTTATGAAAATTGTATTGAAAATAATTGAATTCCTGTGAAAAATATTATTAGAGTTCTTGAAAACAGTAAATAATTTAAATTAATTAGTAAATTAGCTGATACTTGAATTTTTTAAAGTTTTGAATCTGAAATTATTCTAAAATTGAAATCACATTATATTTGAAAACAGAAATTGTTTTCAATTTGCACAATTATTGAACTAACGAATAATTAATATTGAATAAATAAGTAAATAAATAATCAATATTGAATAAATTTTTAACTAATTTTTAAATAATGACAAAGAGAAAAATTCTCTTCTTTTAAAAAAAAGTCTCATTTAATTTGAACGTACAATTCACGATCGTTGCCGAGCCTAATGGCGATGTCCTGATACTCTTGTCTGGTGCGGGCGACCAATTCCGGACATCCGAGAGTATTTAATTGACTGGCGGCAACTCTTGAGGCTAGAGTTTCTCCTGGTAGAGTGACAACAGGTGTCCCGGTCCACAAGACATCCATGCTTGTTGTGTGTCCATTGCACAAAGGCGTGTCAAGACAAACATCCGCCAATTGACCTCGTCGAACATGTTCTTCCTTCGCAGCGACATTGCTGAATAAAATTCTACCAGGTGAGAGTCCCAATTGCTGTGCAGTAGATTGTAAATTTGGCTCGCCAACCGCTGGAAATCGCAGCAGCCACAGCACTGCATTTGGCACGTGTTTCAATATCTGTATAAATAAAAAAACAAATACTCAAATTTCAAGATTCTCTCAATTAAAAGAAAGAAAAAAAAATAATTATCCTTTTTTTCAATTTTTTGCAGAGATGAACTAAATTTTCAAACTAAAAATATTGTAGTATTTTTATATACTTTTAATTTTTCATTTAGAATTCTTTCAATTTTATTTCACACCAATTTTTCTATTTGAGTATTTTTTGAATTTTCCTTATATAAAGATTATTGAAATTTTGATAAGAATTTAAAAAAATTATTGAACATAATTGAAATTTCGGAGAAGAATTTTATTATTTATTAAGATAATAGAAATTGACAAGATTTTTTTAAAATTTTTGAACATAATTGAATTTCTGCACCTAATTTTATTATTTATAAAGAGAATTGAAATTTTGACAAGAATTTTATTAAAATTTTTGAAAGTAATTGAATTTCAGAGATTTTATTATATATAAAGATAATTGAAATTTTGATAAGATTTTTAAAGAATTTTTGAATATAATTGAATTTCTGCGAACAATTTTATTATTCATAAAGAGAATTGAAATTTTGACCAGAATTTAAAAAAAAAATTTCAATATAATTGAATTTCTGCAAAGAATTTTATTATTTATAAAAAGAATTGAAATTTTGACCAGAATTAAAAAAAAAATTTCAACATAATTGAATTTCTGCAAAGAATTTTATTATTTATAAATATAATTGAAATTTTTACAAGAATTAAAAAAAAAATATTTCAACATAATTGAATTTCAGCAAAGAATTTTATTACTTTTGAAAATAATGGAATTTCTGCAATCATTTGTAACTTCTCCAAAATACAATTTTTTAAAGTGTTTTTAACTAAAACTAAAATTCTATAAATTTGTATTAAAAACCCTGAAAAGTAGAATTTAAATAACTTTCAAATGTTGTCCTTGTTTTGTAAAACAGTTGATACTAAATAAATAAATAGATAAATAAAAACTTAATAAAAATAAAATAAAACTAAAAAAAACTTTAAAAAGAAAATAAAAATGTAATAAAAATACCACCCAACACAATGTGAAAAATGTCAGTAAATATTAAAATCTTCTTCTATTTTTGAACTTTATGAACGATACAAGAAAATAAAAATTTTTTGCATTTTTAAAATACCACGAAAATAAAATGACATTTATGAAATTTGGGTCATTTGGTAAAAAAAACTATTATACATAAATACTTGATTTATAAATTGAAAATTGAAAATGAAAATGAAAATAAAATAAAATTTAAAAATCGGAAAAAAAACTTACATTCGCCCACATGTGAAGTGTCAATGGATCGATTTTATAGAGTTGATTAAAATTACAATAAACAACCGCGTCTTCTGGTAATCCATATTGTTGCCTCGTCGTTATTACAATACTTTGCGGTACTTCTTCTCCAGTTGCCGTTTTAGTATTAACTTGCGTTGTTGCCATGCCATTTTGCACAACAACACCATTAACGGACATTTGACATTGACCCGATGCAATCATCGTTTCAATTGGAGTTGTCGTCGGTAATTCAGCAACTTTTAAGGATATTTCAACGGGTTTATGTTTTGAGTCCGGCATTATTACTTCGCGTATTTCTTTAACCAATGTATTTTCAATCATTGGCGATAAATCTGTTGCATTTATAACAGCCACATTATCAGCCACTTTTCCTTTCAAACCCGCTTTATCCGCCAGTATTAGACGTTCTTTTAAGTGCGGGAACATTTGCCTGAAAATTACATCAAGAAAATTAATTTTCAATTAACCTAAATAATCTGAATTCTATTCTTTACTTTTCTTTTTTCTTTCCGTTTTTCAAACACGAACTAAAAATCTATTCCCTTCCAAAAAATTTATATATTTATTTTTTGTAAATTTTTATTAATATAATAACTTCAATGTATTTTTAACACCAGTTCTGAAAAACAATTTTTTTTTAAATAATAAAAAACAATTGACTTCAATAAAAATTGTAGCTCTTTTTTCCCTCTTTGTGAATCGTAAAGTTTATTGGATTTTAATAAATGATAGCTAATGTTTGTACATATTGAAAAATTCTGCACGATTCTATAGAACTTTTCAAAATACAAAATTCGTTGAGAATTTTAATGAAAAAGGAAAACAAATCAAATATGTTCTAATTAAATTGTTTTGAATAGAATTTTAAAAATTGTGTTTAATCATTCAATGAACGAAATAATAATTGCAGAGCTCGAACCGGTGAAATTATTTAAAAATACGGACTTTACGCAGCAAAAATGAAAAAATAAGGACCATTTACGAACAAAAATATAACCAGTCCGAGTCAAATAAGAGAACATTTTACTTAAAACTAGAAATTAAATTTTTCATAATTATAAAACATGAAGATATCGATAACTCCGAGTCTTTGACTCAGAGTGATCGCTCCTTCATTTTTTTATCAAGAATTTTTAACTAAAATTCATCTTTAAATCGATTATTTTTAATAATTTTCGAAAAAGTTCTTTAACAATTATCAAATCCATTTGTTTACAATATTCAAATTTACGAAATTTCAATTATTCGTAAATTCTTCAATTAAATATTTATTAGAAAATAAAAACTTAAAATAATATTAAAAAAATGCAATTAAACATTTTCAAACAAATTAATTTCAAAATTCAATTATTTCTAAAAGTTATATTGCTTTTAATATTCAATTGTTATCTAAAATTTTAACTGAAATTCATTTTTAAATCAATTTTGATTAGAAAATTCAACTAGAATTCAATTATTTAAAAACAAATAAAATACAAAAATAAATAATTTATTGAATAATTGAATGTTTCTTAAAATTCAATTCCCATAAAGAATTTTATCACCAAATTTTCAAATAATTGAATTCTTTAAACGAATTTTAATAAATTTTTTAAGAATAATTACATCTTTCGAGGAATTTGTTTAAAATTGTATTAAAAATAATTGAAATTCTGCAATTTCTTTTTGCATTATTTATAAAAATAATTGAATTTCTAAAAAGAATTTTATTATTTACGAAAATAATTGAATCCCTGTAAAAATTTTATTATTTATGAATAATTGAATGATTGCGAAGAAATTTATAAAAAAAATTTGTAAATAATTGAATTTCTGGGAAATTTTTATTATTTTATGAAAATAATTAAAGGTTTGCGTAGAATTTTATTAATTTTTTTTTTTAAATAATTGAATTCTTTTGGAAAATTTTATTAGAATAGTAGATATTGAAAATCATTGAATTGAGGAAAATTTTTTTAAATAATTGAAATTTTGCCAAGAATTTTATTTACCAAAATTTTTAAAAATAATTGAATTTCTGAGATAAATTTAATAATTTCTAAAGATAATTGAAATTTTGACGAGAATTTAAAAAAAAATTTTGAACATAATTGAATTTCTGCGAAGAATTTTATTACTTTTGAAAATAATTGAATTTCTCCATTCATTTGTAATTTCTCTAAAATTATCCAAATTATATCGTACAATTTACGAACTTTTCGTCCTTTTTCAATCAAATTACAGACTTTATGTAACTTACAGACTTTACGTTTTTCAAAAACACGGACTTTTACGGACTTCAGGCAAATTTACGGACCTAGTTCGTGCCCTGTTCCCTTCACACGAAAAACTTTGAACGTAATATTAGTTTATTTATCTTTTGATTATATTTTTAGTTTTAATTTTTTATTTTCTATTGTACAATTTATATTTCTGTTTGGAAATTTGTATTAATAAAATAAAAACTTAAATATATTTTTAATACCAAGTCTGAAAAACAGTTTTTAAATAAAAATAAAACAATTGACTTTAATAAAAATTGTAGCTACAGAAATATTCTACATTTTGTTATTTTCCCCTCTTTGTGAATCGTAAATTTTATTGGATTTTAATAAATGATAGCTAATGTTTGTACATATTGAAAAATTCTGCACGATTCTATAGAATTTTTCAGAGTACAAAATTCATCCACTGAATTTCGTTGAGAATTTTAATTGAAAAGGCAAAAAAAAAAAAATCAAATATGTTCTAATTAAATTGTTTTGAATAGAATTTAAATGAATTGTGTTTTATCATTCAATGAAGGAAATAATTATTGACGTCACAAATAAAAATTATTAGAAATAATAATTAATATCAAAGGTGTGAAATATTTTTGTTCGTGACGAGTAAATAATAATTGTTGCATAATTACTAACTTATGGTCTCCAATGAAATATGTGTGCGGCATGTAAGCAAGTTTCTCGCTGTATTGACTGGCGAGCTCTAACGGTGAAGTGACTTCGTCGGTGATTAAATAATCCATGAAACTGGCGCCCGAAGTGCCTGGATAGCCAAGCCACATAACTTGAATGGGCGCTGGTCTTAATGCAAATATCTCATTGCGAGCGCCTTTTGTGTAACCATTCATATTCACCAGAATGTGAATTCCATCTGAATTAATACGATCGGCAGCTTTTCCATTGCACGGCACTTGCGATAAATCAACAAAATGCTCTGATTCGCGAGCAATTTTTGACCGGAACGTCGTACCATCATCGGAACTCAATGCATAGCAAAATATTTCCACATTCTGCTTTTCATGAAGTCCTGGAATTGATTGCATCAAATGACTCGTTGGATGATTGCCGAAATCTGACGAGACGTAGCCAATTTTCAGACGAGCGCCAAATTCACGGGGATATTTGTAGGGTTGCTTGTGAAGAACGTGAATCTGAAAAATTCATTTTTCGTTTAATTTAAAATTTTTATTTTCAACTAATTTTTTCATTTTTAATTCAATTTTTAAATTTAAATTTAAATTCAGTTTTTAATTTACTTTTCAACTATCAAAATTTACAAGCGCGCGTGAAATTTTAGAGTACGTTGTTAGTCGTAAAAATTTTCTTCTTAAAATTTAATAAAAATTTATTATTCTCTAAAAAATATAATTTTTCAAAATATAATTCTGTTAGTTTCGCAAATCTAAGAAAAGTATCAAACTGTAAAAAAATAGTAAATAGTACATTTTAGTAGATGATTGCGAAGCTTGAAATTTTTATTTTTAATTTAGTTTTTAATTTAAAATTAAAATAGAAAAATTTTTAATTTAAAAGAAACTAAAAAAGAAAATCTACAAGGGGAAGAAGGAGAAAAGAAATTGAATTTTTACCTTTTCGATGCATAAATTCGCATGTCTAGCGGCGATGGCTTTTCGAAAATCATGTGACAATGGATAGAGCATCGAATGATGTGGATGAACGCTTGGCAATCGATTTTTGTCCAACTGTTCGGCAACAATGGAAACAAGTTTCTTCATTCTTGCCTCGTAATCTGTCCAGTCACAAACAATTTGAAGACAGTGCGCCAAATTACAGTACGCATCTGGAAAGTCCGGTTTTAATTTTAAAGCCGTTCTGTATGATTGAATGGCTTCCGGGATATTGCCCGAATCCTTGTGAATAGAAGCGAGATTCGAATGAGCGTCAGCGAATGCAGGATTTATTTGAATTGCTCTTGTATAACATTGTAGAGCTCCCTGAATGTCTTGCATTTCCTTAAGGGTATTGCCCATATTAGAATACGCATCAGCGAAAGTTGGCTGAATACGAATTGCCTCCTTATAATGCATGAGCGCTTCATTTAGTTTACCCTGTTGTTGCAAAACAGAAGCCAAATTACTGTGTGCTGCAGCGAATTCTGGAAATACTTCCAATGCCTTTAAATATAATCTCGTTGCTTCCTCAATATAGCCCTGTTCACGTTTTATGTTGGCCTGTGTGGTAAAAAGAAAATCGTATATAAAACTTGTTGGTTTCCTTTTTCTATTAAAAGCTTGAATTTTAATTAACAATTTTCTTCCTTGGAGGAAACCATTAAAAGAGAGAAGAAAAATTTATTTTTCACTACTTTTATTAGATTTTTCAGTTGATAAACTTTTATGATTGTATAATTCTGGACTAACGTCGAAAGTTTAAACCAGAATCGACAAAATAACTAAGAATTAAATTTTTTACTCTAGTAGAGAGTTTAAGACCAACGTCGAAAGCAATTTAAACGTCGGTCGATCAAACTATGTTTTTTTTATTCCATCAGAAAACATTGAATGTTTTTCTTCCGAAACAAATAGAAGAAAAAAAACTAAAATCAATTAAATACTCCGTCAAATTGAAAATTAGAATTGAAATTATCCTAATTTTAGAGAAAAACTAGTTTAAAAAAAAGGGAAATTTACCAAATTATTAAGGGAATCGGCGTGAGTTGGGCAGAGTCGCAAAGCTGTATTGTAGCATTCTTCTGCTTCGGCCACCTGACCTTTTTCCTTAAGCGCATTGGCCAAATTACAGTAAGCATCTGGAAAGTTCGGTTGAAGTTCAATTGCGCGACGATAAGTGTCAATCGCAAGGTCAATGAGCCTGAAAGAAAAACAAAAGTATTAATTAAACTATTTTACTATTTTAATGTTATTGTAATTTAATTGCTATTTCAATTTTTAAACAGACAAATTTTCCATTTATATTCCGTAATCGAGAATAAAAAAAACCTAATATATATTTTAATCAACCTCTATTTATACTAAGAAATTTTTTTATACAAGAAATTTTTCATATACATCCAAAAGAATACTGAATATTTTAAAAACATGTTTCACAAAAAATCGATTACAACATCTTGCAACATTTGCATTAAAAGTTCAAATTCACCATCAACCTACTTTTTATGTAAAATTTCATAGTTTTTCAGAAAAAAAAAATTTTAAAAACACATTTTCTCGTATGTGTTAACATTTTCATTTTTAAATATCGCTAAAAAGAGAATAATTTCAGACGGAAAATAATTTCAACAAAAGAATTTTAAAAATTAACGTGAAAATAATAAATGAATAAAAAAAATAATATGAATAACTAAAGATAAAATGAATAAATTTTCTCGTGTATGTTAATATTTTTTTAAATTGCGAAAAAAAGAAAAAAAAATTCAAATTCAAACGAAAAAGAATTTTAAGAAAAGAATTTTAAAAATTGCAAAAAAAAATAATAGACATAAAATTAGTAAATTTGTTCGTTTACATTTTTTTTAAAAATAGTAATTATAAAAAAGAAAATAGTTTTAAACAGAAATGAGTTTCTAACAGAAAATAATTTTGACAAAAGAATTTTAAAAATTGAGAATATTAAGAATATAAGAAAATAATGAAAGTAATTAAAAATGAAATTAATAAATAGAAAAAAAATAAAGAGAACTAAAAATAAAACTATTAAACAAAAAAAATAAAAAATAAATAGAAATAAAATTAATAAGCAAAAAATTAATAAAAAGAACTAAAAATAAAACTATGAAAATAAAAAAATACTAAAAATGACAAACAAAATTAATAAGTAAAAAAAATGATTAAAAGAACTAAAAAATAAAAATAATAATAAAAATAACTAAAAAATAACTAGAAATAAAATTAATAAGTAGAAAACAAATAAAAATAACCAAAAATAAAATTAACGAGTAAAAAATAATAAAAATAACTAAAAATATAACTAGAAATAAAATGAATAAATAAAAAAAAATTAATAAAAAGAATTAAAAAGAAAATAATGAAATTTATAAGAATTAATTAATAAGGAAGCAAAAATCTCACCCCTGTTCATAGTAAACGCAGGCCAAATTGCCGTGAACCACTGCATTATTGGGACTCAGATTCAACGCTCGAAGATATGCACCAACAGCTCTGCAACAATAATAATTCACAGGATATTAGTTTGAGAGAAAATTGAATACTGTTTGAGAAACTCATTACACTTTAAACGATAAACTGAAACAATTTCATTTCAAATGTAAATACTTTAAAAACACATTAAAAGAGTAAAATTGTGGGAAATTAATCTTCTTTTAACATTTTGAGAATTATTATTATTATTATTATTATTATTATTATTATTATCAAAAAGGAAAAAAAATTTCAATTTACATAGAAAATAATTTTCCCTCCATGAAATTTTATTTAGAATATTCTGTTAAAAAAACGAAACTATGGTTAAAATTGAAAAAAAATAAATTCAGTTAAAATTGAAAAAAAATAAATTCAGTTGTAATAAACAAAAATCACATTCATGTTAAAAAAAAATTAAACTCAAGTTATAAAGAAAATTGAAAAAAGAAATTAATTTTAAATTAAAATAGAAAAATAAATAAAGTTAAAATGAAAAAAGTACATTTTCCAAAGACTTCAAATTATTTATAAATAATTAAAGACTGACTTTAGCAAAAATAAAACTCCATTTAATTAAATATTTCAGATGAAATTTTATAACCGAGTGTAATTAATTAACGTCAAGTAATAAATTACGAGACATATTTTTCAATTAATTAATTTTTAATCACAGATATTTTCATCACTAATGACCATTTTTGAAATATCGTTTTTTCAATTTAATATTATAAAATTTCATTATTGAAATTAATCATTAAATTAGAATATTTAAATTTAAAAATTAATTAATTTAAATTAGAATGATTTGATGAAACGATTAAATTAGAAAATTAAAAATTTAATTAAAACTTGAAATAGAGAATATAAATTTAGATAACTTTTAAAAATATTAAATAAATTAAATAATATAAATAAAATTAATATAGATTAAAAAAAATTAAATTAAAAATTAAATAAATTAAAATCAATATAACAATAGTAATTTTAACATTTTGTACTCACAAATTTTTGTTATTATTAATATTAATATTATTATTATCATTTTATTATATTAATTTATATTATTTTTTATATTATTATTATTTTATTGTTGTTTTTCTTTGCTGTTCTATAAAAATTGAAAGTAATTTTCAGTGTATCATAAAAGATGTGCGATAAATTGCAAAGATTAGTTTATCATTCATCTGCACTTGAATGAACATGAATTATTTTCTACACCTGCGTTATTTTCTTTGACAAAACGATATCAACTGGAAGTAATATAAAAACATCTATTGTTGTCTTTCCATTTACAGAATATATTTTTACAATCTTCAGAATTAAATTTTATTTAGAAATAATAATAATAATAATATTAATAATAATTGTACTGGAAAAAAATAATATTCCTAAAGTTTCGAATGTTCAAATTAATGGCGATATTTTTTTTACTGTTTCTAATTTGTATCTTATTTCAAAAATATTAATTCTGGACTAATTTAAACGTTTAATTCAGTTTAATTTCAGTATACAGTGATTTCTGAAAATATTGTAACAGAACAAAAATTTTGTTCATTTGAACATTCAAAATTCCAGGGGAATTAATAATGGAAATAATAATTAAAACAAGTTCAAAACTTGAGGCGAATTAATAATAAAAATAAAAATAATAATTATTATAAACATAATGATAATAAAAGGACAAAAATTATAATAAAATTGCAAATAAAAGTTAAAAGTAAATAATTTCGTTGAATCTATTAATTTATCCTATTCATGTAAATTTTTTTCGTCTCCCTCATATATTGTATAAATTTTCCCAGTTTCCAGAATTAAATTAAACGCAATTTGCAAGTACGAATGCGAAAACTTCTGTTAAAATAAAGCTCGCAACTATGTATATAGTTAGAGCGAATTGAAAATTACGTTTACGAATAATAAATCTTTCTAAAAAAAAAAAAAAAAAAAAAAGGTGAGAATTGTTTTTAAAGAGGTAATTTGCGTGTTTAACACGTCGTGGATTTCTATTTGGTTGGACACGTTACAAATTAATACTTAGAAAACCATTTAGCTCTCTAAAACCACATCATAATATGTTGCGTGTATATCGATTTTTCAGGATAAATTACATTAACAATGTTATCCACTTTGACCCATATATTATAACTAGTTTGAATTTGCACATGCAGACACTTCAAACTTCATACGTGTACTCTAATGATGCATAAATAATGCCAATTTACCCCCCCCCTGAAAAAGAAAAAAAATAAATAAACTTTATAATTTCATTTGCCGCAGGGAAAAGGGAAAACTATCGCATGAAACAAAACTCTCATAAATCGTAATTTAATTTTCAATATTTTCTTCACGAGATGAGAAAGTCTTTATGTATACAAAATCAGAATAATGAATAATATTGGAGATATTTTATTTTATGTATAAAAATGAAAATTTTATTTTATATAAAAAGATTAATCGATATTTATATAAAAAGAAAATATTGATTACTAATGAAAAGTGAGGATATAATCGGAATTACTTAATAAATTGTTAAATGGAGTGAAAATAGTAGTCGATTTCTCAAAGTTGAAAATTTAAATGATAAGAGAAGAAATATGAGAAATTTAATTGAAATTAAAGGAGTAATTGAAATCAAGAAGAAGCAGAAAAAAAGGAGAAAACGAAGAAGTTATAATATACTCAAGAAAATGTAACCAACGGAGAGAAAACAGAAAAAAGGTGAAAATAATAATTTCAACTCTCTTTGGATTTAATATTTGAATATAAATCTAAAAAAATTATTTTTACTCCTCGGACTTCGTACTTAAATATAAATCTAAAAACATTATTTCCATACTCCTTAAATATTTAAATATAAATTCAAAATAATTTTTATTTTCCTTGAATTTGATATTTAATCAAAAATCTAAAATAATTATTTTTACACTCTTTGAATTTATATTTAAATCCAAGAAGCGTTAAAATAATTATTTGCGGAATTTTTGAAAAATTTTATTTATTGATTTAATTTGAGAAAATTTTTATTTTTCCAAATGTATTTGAATTTATATTTAAATATATAAATTTAAAATAATTATTTTTTAACAATTTAAGAAATTTTTAATAATTTATCTATTCTAAACCCTAAAGTAATTATTTATACAAAGAGTGTTTTAAAATAATTATTTTAACACTCCTTGAATTTGATATTTAATTAAAAAAAACCAAAATAATCATTTCGACACACTTTGGATTTAACATAAGGCTCTTTAATTCCAAATTGTTTTAAAGCTCAAATTGTCATGTCAGAAGTTTGATAATTAATTCGCAAATAGAGTTATTTAGTGTTTTAGAGAAATTAACTTCCCTAGAATTTTGACAATAACAGGATTCTCACATAAAACTTTTTGACAAGAAATAATTTAGAAAAAGAATCTTAGTTAAAATTTTAGAAAATATTATTTATTAAACATTTATTATTTTTAAACATTATTGTATTTTTTGTTGAATTTTAACTAAAAATCTGGAAAATGATTAAATTTTACAGAAATTTTAAGAGGTTTTTAAATTGAAATCTTTGACATTTTAATCGCCGTAAAATTATAATAAAATTCCAATGTTTATTTAAAAAAAAAAAATCAATATATTATTTTTCTTTAAAAATTATTAAATTTTTAAATAATTTTACTCAAAATTTCTAAAAAAATAATTGTCTTTTCGAAAAATTGCAGTTGTAATTTATAGAAATAATTAAATTTCAAAAAGTTTTACTACGAAATTATTTGCAATTTCAATTAGAATAAAGAGCAATAAAATTTCAATTATTTGTTTAACAAAAATTATTGAATTTCTGAATAATTTAATGTAGAAATTCTAAAAAAAATTAGGTCTTTGAATAATTGTAATTAAAATTATTTTAAAGATAATTAAACTCCCGAGAATAATTAAAACAAAATTGAAACAATTAAAAGTTTTGTCAAATTTCATTGTAATAAATTTTATATTTAATAGGATTTAATATTATTATTGTTAAAAATTGTTTTGAACTATTAATATTATAGTATTTTTCAAAAATTATATTTCATAAAATTCTTTTTTTTAGAAAATACTAAATTTTTATTAAATTTCATAAAGAATTGTAATTTTGTAACTATTTGTAATTGCAACTAATATTGGGGCTTAAAATTTTACCCTAGTTTTCTAATAATTGAATAACTTTTAACGAATATTTATTCTAAAATAATTATTTATCTCAGAAATGTTTTAAAATCATTATTTTCGATTTATATTTAATTATTATTCCCACACTCCTTGGATTTAATATTTAATTAAATTCTGAGAAGTAGAAATCAATAATCAAAATTTAAAGAAAAAAAAAACCCGCTGAATAAAATTCAATTTCAAACGATCGCTTTTTCGATTAGATTGATAGTGAACTTTTCTACTCCTCCGATACCAAAGATAGCAAAAAAAAAAAAATGTCTCGAAAAAAAAAATCCTCCCCTACCTTTGAGAAAAAAAGATCAAAAAAACTCAACTTCAAAGAAATACAGGTGTGGATAATAAATTTTTAACGGGAAATTTACTCCAAAAAAAAAAGAGTGGAAAATTGATAGCATGAACCTTTTGATCCAGGACTTGAGCCAAGCTATACAGCCAGTAGGCGGTGGTCGTAAAATCGTACTTTCAAGATGAAGACGAAGAGATGGTGCGAGGGATGTTGACGGAGATATCACTGTGTAAACGATAACACACTGGTACTCCATTCCGTCATTATTAAAATTTCAAAATAATCCCCAAGTATTTTTCTTTTTTTGAATAATATTCAAATATTTCGAAGTCTACTTTTTTCTACTTTTTTCCCTTCTTCTTTTCGAGTAAAAAAATAATTTTTCTAACTATTTAAACTTGGAATTTGAATTTATTGGACGATTCTCATTTATTTAGTACCTATTCCCTTTTTTTTTGAGTAAAAAAAGGAGAGTTGGAATTTTTTGTTCAGTCTTCAATTCAGTCGAAAAAACATGTGCGTAACTAAGACACTTGGAATTCTCTAAATATTCTCCTTTGGAACTTTTTTGTGTTGCTTTTTCTCCTCTCGAAAATGTTTCTCTTTTTATAGTTGCTTTTCCTTTTCCTCCTTTTCTTCTCTTTCTCCTTGTAATTTATTTTCAAAATTGTTATAATTTTTTCAATTCTTCAACAATCTTTTCTCTATTTCTTCTTTTCCTCTATTTTCCTTTTCTCTATTTTTTCGTTTCCTCTATTTTTTCTCTTTCTTTATTGTTTCCTTTTCTCTATTTTTTCGTTTCCTCTATTTTTTCTGTTTCTCTATTTATTCCTTTTCTTTATTGTTTCCTTTTCTCTATTCTTTCGTTTCCTCTATTTTTTCAGTTTCTTTATTTTTTCGTTTCCTCTATTTTTTTCTTTTCTTTCTTTTCTTCAATTTTTTCTCAATTTTTTTCTTTTTTTCCTCTTTTCTATTTTTTCCTTTTCCTCTCCTTTTTCCTTTTCTTCTTCAAAATTCTATTTCCAAAATCACTTTCCCCCTGAAGACAATATATTTTCCTCTCTTTTAAAGAGAATTCTAAAGAGATTTGAAAAAGATTTTAAGGAGATTTGAAAAAGATATTAAATAGATTTTTAAAGAGATTTCTCTAAACAATAATTTTCCATTAGAAAAATGTAAAGACTGCCATTTTTGAAAAATGATGAAAAATAATCTGGTTGAAATGTTCTGTCATCATCTTGAATTATCTCTCTTCGACTATTCGAAATGAAGCATTCCTTTTATATGAGATAATAAATTACTTTCGATGATAAATCCAAGTCTTATTGTCTTCCTCGTCGTTCGCTTTTGTTCTCCACCTTTTTGTCTATAGTCGCAAGAAGAAGAGAAGCTCTCAACGGTTGGAGATGAAATCGAGGCTTTTAAAAACTTGAGAATTGATGGAATCCATAAGTTCACTTAGTGTGGTCTTTATCAAGCGACGACAAATTCCTTTCAAATAAAGAAATCCCTGGAAAATTCATGGAATTTGAAATAATTATTAAATTTAAATTGAAATAACTATTCCGTTTAAAATTATATTCTCAAAGGAAATTTCCAAATGAAATTCTTAAATGTAATTCTCAAATGAAATTCTCAAATGAAATTCCAAAATTAAATTCTCAAATGTAATTCGAAAATTTAATTCTCAATTGATATTCACAAATTTAATTTTCAAATAAAATTCTCAAATCAAATTTTCAAAGTGAATTATTTAGTTAAACGAGAATTATACACAGATGTGTCGGATTTTTTTCTCTAGTAAATCTATTTTTCAATCTATCAATATTGGCTTAATATGAATTTTAGAACATCGACTTGTCTATCACGTCTGTTTTTTTTATCACATATGGTAAATTTTATCAACATTTAATCACATTTAAATTACGATTCGTTAACAATAATATATTTTATTTTATTTTTAATTTCTCTGTATACGTTGTTTTTTTTCTCTTCTTTCTTTAGAAGAATTTTGCTTCCTCGCGAAGGAAACTTTAATATTCGTGTTTTATGTTCCTTTTCACTTAAATATTCGAGATTAAATTTTCAAAAAATCACTTGGACAGAATAGGATTATTTTTTTTGCTAGCTAACGTTTCCTATTATTTTCCCTAAATTTCCTTCTTTACTCTTCTTTCATGTCAATTGTTCCTCTTTGATTTCCCTTTTTTCTTTCTTTCCTTTTTTTTCTTTATTAATTTCTTTTTTCCTTTATTTATTTCTTCTTTCTTTATTTATTTATTGTTTCCTTTATTTCTTTTTTTCTTTACCTATTTTCTTTCTTTCTTTCTTTCTTTCTTTATTTCTTTTATTTATTCTTTCCTTCCTTTTAAACTTATTTACTTGTTAATACGATCTTGTATATAATAGATTGACTACGAGAAACTACTGAATAGGAGAAATTTGAAATTTTCGAAAATTCGAATTCATATTATTAAATTGTCGAAATAATCCCTTTCATCGAGTTTTCCCTTTAAGAATAAATCGTCACGTGTTTTCTTCGAGCAAGAGAATCTTTCTTCTCCACACAATAATGTCAAAGCCCATTTAAAAAAACAAAAGTGTTGAATCTGTCTTCTTAAGACATTCCTTCTTTCAGCATAAAAGAGAAAATACAGAAAAATATCTCCTAAAGCTTCCACACAACAATTCCATATAAAAATCTCTGAAGCGTAAAATAAACTCTACATTGTATCAGACATATTTTTGATGACAATTTCACTTTTTCCTTCTAATGCGAGAAAGATATTTTTTTCAAGGAAAAGTTAAAAAAGTTAAGTTATTAAAAGTCTGTAAAAAAAGGTAAAAAGAGTATTTTTTTCCCCCAGGAAGAAAAAAAAGAAAAAATTGTGCGAAATGAGAGTTAAAAACGTGTCATGATAGAGAAAGACAGACGGACGGATATTCTGCCTCGTAGACTACGTTCTAAACTACTGAGGAGTGGCGTTGCGGCGGATTTAGCGACTACCGGCAACTAACAATGTCGACGCCGACGCCGAGGTTGGCGTCAACGTCGCGCCTGACTCGGAAGCTGGAATATGCGTCCGTTGCTAGGTGATTCCCACATTCCCAGAAACCCAGCCACTGTACACACTCAAACCGACAATCATTCTCATTATCAGTACAATCCACTTGATCAACGATTCTTTTTAATTATTTCCTTCATTTTTTTTTATTATCCATTCAATATAAAAATCTCCTTCTCATTTCTCATGACAAAAAATAGAAAGAAAAACAAAATTAGAGTTCAATTCGATAGAAATAATAAAAACACAACTATTTCCTTTTGATAAATAGATTAATAATAAAAAAAATTCACTAAAACGAATCGTTTGCAATCGGAAGAAAAAAGTCACTTGCAAGCTAAATAAAATTCACAAAAAAATAAAATCAAGAAATTTGATTCTTTTCCGATTTCCAGAGAGAATTCCAACCTTCTCTCTAACTAAAAAAATAAAGAATGTTTAAATTGTCTAAGAATTATTTAAAAATTACAACTTATAAACAAAAATAATTAAAAATATAAACAAGAAAATGTTCCGAATACATTTTAGATATAAAATTAATAATATATTATTATTTTACGAATAACTGAAAAATTATTCGAAACAAAAATAATTTTAGATAAATTTTCCTCATTATTGTTATCTATAATTTTCCGCAGGGATTAATTTTTTCAAACGTCAAACAATTTCCACAATTTAATTTTACGAAATTTCAATTACTCAAAAATTTTCCAATTAAATATTGAAACATTGATATATTGAAAAATTAAAAATTCAACTAATTTCACAAAAAGAATTAAATAAAATTTTTTCAAAAACGAATTTTTTCAGAATTTTTAATTCAAATTTCATAAAAAGTAAAAATTTTAATTCAAAACTATTTGAAATTCTTCAATAATTTATAAGAATTGCTACAGCAACTTAACCGAAATATAATTTCTAGAATTTTTAACTAAAATTCGTTTCTAAATTAATTATTTTTCAATAATTTTTTGAGAAATTTCTTTCAGAATTAATATATTTAATGAGAAATTTTTTTTTTGTTGTTGATTTAATGGCTTTTTGCAAATAAATTGCAAATAATTCTAAAATCCAATAGTTTAGAATTTAATTTGACAAAATTTCCATATTTCGATAATTTGTCCTTTAAATATTGAAAATAAATTAAAAAATTAACTAAAAATTCTTTTGTCAACCAATTACCTTTCAATAAGTTTTGAGAAAGTTCGTCGAAAATTCAATTATTTTCTAAGAGTTACGTTCGCAATTTACATAAATAATTGAATTTCAAAAGGTTCTTAATTGAAAATTTCAATTTTTTGTAAAATAAATTTTTCGAAAAATCACTAACTCGAAAATTTTCATCTAAATATTGAAAATATTGAAAATAAAATCAAAAAATTCAACTAATTTCAGACAAATTTAAACAAAAATTTTTCAGAAACATATTTTTTCATAATTTTTAATTAAAATTACAAAAATAATTCAAACTTTCTAAATTTTCAATTTCAAATCCTTCAAAATTCAATTATTTATTTAAATTGTGAACGCAACTCTTAAAAATTTCAATTATTTTTGAAATTTTTTAGTAAAATTATTCGCTAAATAATTTATGAGTTATAATTTCAGAATATTTCTTAAAAAATTAAAGTATTTAATAATTTATTTATTTTTTTAATGAAAATTATTGAAATTTCAAATTTTTAATTCAAGACCTTTTAAAATTGAATTATTTATAAAAATTCTAAATGCAACTTTTCTAAAATTCAATTATTTTAGAAATTTATAAGTAAAATCATTTAATAATTTATAAGTATAAAAATTTGTAACTAAAATTCTTCTCCAAATTAATTATATTTCATAATTTTTGAGAAAATTTGTTGAGAATTAAATTATTAAAAAAAATTTCACCTGAAATAATTGTAAAATCCACTTGTATAGAATTTAATTTTACGAAATTTCAATAATTCGATAATTCTTAAATAGAGAATTATATATTTTTCAATATTGAAAATATTGAACTGTAAAAAAACAAAAAAAAAAATTCTTCTTTCAATAAAAAGAAGAAAACTTGGAGAACATGAAAAAAAAACTAAAGTTCTATTTTACATCGTATTAGTTGCATTCTTTAGTAGTTGAAAGTTTTATATAAAAAAATTAAATCAGTTTTTCTCTTGTTTCGCCTTTTTTCTTTTAATTAAAGATTCTCTCGAGTTTAAACTTTTTCGTTTTTTTTTCTATTGTACTTTCAACATCATTGTATTTTGTTGTGTAAAGTAAAGGAACAAGATATTTTTTTTTCTCAAGAAGTTGGAAGTTAAACTCAACTCAACATTCACGTTGAAAAAAAATAAAACAACCATTTTTCTCCAAGTAATTAAAATACCTATAGTAAAATTAAAAGTGGAAAATCAAAATCAAAATCAAAATTTGAAACTAACAATTCACGTTAAAAAATAGATCAACTATTATTCTCCAAGTAATTAAAATGGTAAAATTAAAAGTGGAAAATTAAAATTAAAATAAAAATTAAAAAATAAAATAGAAAATTAAAGAAGAAAATTAAAAATTAAAATAGAAAGCATGAATTAAAATAGAAAAATAATTAAAATACCTAATGAAATTAAAAAAAGATCATAAAGAACAAATTCAATTTTCTCGAAAAATCACGTTTAAAAAAGTTTATAAATTAGAAGTAAGAAGATTTTCCGCAGAGAACAATAAAATTATACCATCGAGTTACAGCTTAGGAAGAACGTGACCTGGCACTTATTCTTTGCGATTAACTAACTATATAGAAATTTAACTTTTACCAAGTCAATATTTACGAGGAAAATGGATTTCCATTTTTATTTTATTCGATCATTAAACGAACGTTTAAATAAAACGTTATGTATAGTAGAATAATGAGATATTCCACAGATTTTACACTATTGCCCATCATTTTTATTATCGACACTTAAAAAATTACTTCTCAAAAAAAAAAAAAAAAAAAAAAATGAGGAAAAGTTATTTCTTCTCAAAAGAAATTTCCCTTTATTTCCATTCCTGAGCAATTTTAAATTTTACTCTTTCCACGTTTCTAAAGTTTCGAACGACAGTATTTTTGTTACTTCCTTTAATTTTTGTATAAGAATATAATTTTTTTGTGTATTAAAGAAATTAATCATTATAACTAAATATTTAATTTGCATCATTTTATTTTAGTAATTTTTTGAAAATTGAAAATTAATTTCGTTCGAACGTTCAAAACTTTAGAGACATTTTTTCCTAAATTAAAGAGAATTAATTAAGAAAAATAAATAAATGAATAAATAAATAAATAAATAAATAAATCCCTTTATAGATAAACGATATTCATTGAAGAAGTGAAGAGTTAGGACGTAAAGAAGAACCAGCTCAAAATAAACAAACGGGCGTCGTGCAAAATTTGTCTCTCGAAGAAACCATTTGGTGATGAAAGGGGTGGAAAACTGGCAACGAATTCACGTTATAATCGATCGTCACATATAAGAAATTGCGTGAGCAAGTCCATTCACGAGAGTTTCGAGAGAGTTACTCATGCGCCCTTTTCTTTATTGCCTGCGAGATAAAATTTGAGAAAGGTAAAAAAAAGAAGTCCTCATCTCCTGGGAAAAACAAAGTGAAAAGTTCCTTTTTTCACTCATCTCCTTTCTAAGTCTACTTCTCTCGAAAAAGTTTTTATTACTCGAAGAAAAGCGTAGTCTCGAAAATAGATGGGCAGTGGCAATCGATTTTTATTAAATAAAACTGGAACGCATGAGAGTCCGAAAAACAACGTTGACCTGCAACTACAGAGTTCGTGTATTTCTGAAAAATGAAACCAACACACACAATTTTAAAAAGCGATTTTTTATATTTAATAAAAAAATATAACCACGAGTAAATTTCCATTTGGGAACTTTTACTTTCGAAATTAATAATGGAAACTTTTAAACTCCCATTAAAAGAGAAACTAAAAACAATTTAAAAAATAATTTTTTTAATTATTTTTACACCAATTTCAATTTGAAAAATAATTATTAAATACAAAAATTTCGTGAATTATCTGAATTTTACATTCTTGTTTAAAAAAAAAAAAAAATAGTTCTGTTTGAGTTTATAACCAGAATAAAGCAAGTGTTGTAACTTTTATGGAAAAGTCAGAGAATAAAAGCGATATTTCTCTAAAAGTTGCTTTTTTTCTTCTTCAGAGAGTGAAATAAAAGTACATAATATAAAAGGCAAGATTGGCAAGATGTGTCTTTTTTATTACATTGTTGTAAGTCTAGCTTTGAAAAATAACTATACTTCTCTTATTTTACTTTTTTTTACCTCTCAATCAACTCTTTTGGGAATAAACAGAACGAAAACAATTTTTCGCAAAAAAAAGAAGAAGTAGGAGGACAAAAGAAATAATACAAAAACATTAAACGAAATTCATTTCATTATTTTCAGATACTTTCTTTCAAAAACGAATATTATTTTCCAACAGAGAAAAATAATTCTTTGACATTTTATTTTTGACAAGAAACTAGATTTTTAAATAAAAATTCAGTATTCTTAAAAAAAAATAGAAAAAAAATTAAAAACAAATTGAAATGAAATAAATAATTGTATATAAAAAAATTGAAATGAAATTATTGGAATTAAAAACAAATAATTAAAATTAAAAGAGAAATAATACAATAAATATTTACTTTCAAAAATATTCAAAGTAAAAAAAATTATAAATTAACAAACTAAAGGAAATTTTTCAGAAATTAAAAAATATTTGACTCTCGAGAATTTATTTCATATTTTTACGCAAACAAATATTTTAATTAAAAGCAAATATTAGAAATTAAAAATAAATTGAAATTGTAAAGAAATATCGCAATGTTTTCTTTCAAAAATATCCAAATTAAAAGAAAATGTAAATTAAAAAGATATATTTTTTTTAATTTGCATTTTTTCCAAAATATTCCAATAAATATTTACTTTCAAAAATATCCAAATTAAAAAAAAATATTTCCATAAATATTTACTTTAAAAAATAACCAAATAAAAAAATGTAAATTAATAAGAAATATTGCAATAAATATTTCCATTCAAAAACATCCAAATTAAAAAAAAAATTGTAAATGTAAAAGAAATATACCAATAAATATTTCCTTTCAAAAATATTTCAATAAACAAAAAATAGAAAATATTGTAGATAAATTAGGTAAAAAAGTAAAAGAAAATTTCTCATAAATCGAAAAATGTTTGACTCTGGACTATCATCGAAATTTTTATTATTGAAAATCGATGAAATAACTAAGAGCCAATTTTACTTTTGCACAGACTTTTAAAACTGACGCCGATAAAAATTGTAAGCGTCAGTAGATCAAACTGTGCTTCATTTATTTTAATTTAAAAAAAGGAGAATTGAAAATTAAGTAAAAAGAGAGGACAAAAATAAACTGAATAAATTAAGAAATAAAATATAAGAAAAAAAATCGAATGAAGTAAAAAATAAAATATAAGGAAAAAAATGAATAAAGTAAGAAATAAAATATGAGGAAAAAAACAAATAAAGTAAAAAATAAAATATGAGGAAAAAACAAATAAAGTAAAAAATAAAATATGAGGAAAAAAACAAATAAAGTAAAAAAATAAAATATAAGAAAATAAAATTAATGAGGTAACAAATAAAATATAAGGGAAAAAAATGAATAAATTAAGAAACAAAATAGAAGAAAAAAAAGAATAAATTAAAAAATAGAATATAGAGGAAAAAATGAATAAAGTAAAAAATAGAATATATAGGGAAAAAAATGAATGAAATAAGAAATAAAATATAAGGAAAGAAATACAAATATTGGAGAGAAAAAAATTGAAAAAGGCCACGAATATAATAAAAGTATCAAATAAATTTAGAGACCTTCATATTGACAATATTTGAAAGAAAGAATCTGAAAATAAAAAGAATTCCAATTCCAAACAGAGAAAACGAATCTCACTCCTACAAATAGAATATTTGGCCAGGAAACATGTCCCCTAAAATGCCAAACTCCTTGAAAGAATTTTTCCCCAATTTTCTACATGCAAAACTAAAAAAAAAAAAAAATCTTGCCAAATTTTCTTTCCCAGTGAATATTTTTAATATGATTTGTTGGCGAGTCACTGTGAAAAGCTGATTTTCGAAATGTAATTTATCAACGAAAAAGAAAAAGCAAACGAGGAAGAAAAAAGAACCGAAGAAGCAAAAAATGAGAAGAAGCAAAAAAGGAAAAAAAAAGAAGAAATCCTTTCCGAAAGATACAAATTACGGTATAAAATCTAAAACGATAAATTACCAACGAATAAATCATTATCAAACACATTTTGATTCAAATCGAGTGTGGCTAATAATTCTTCTCCTATACTGTCGATAATCCTGGTTGATGTGAAAAATCTAAAAAGTCATATTTAACGTCGTGAATCTTAAGAAAACGCAATGGAAGTTCAAACGGCAGTAATGTCAGAAAGTGTTCTCTCTTTATGCAGTAAAGAAAAAAAAAGAACGCGACGAGATACCGCATTTAAAGTTTCAAGAGCTTTAAAAAGTATTATAAAGTCGCTTCTTTTCTTGTTCATGAGCTTGGATTATGCACTCACACCCTCAAAGAGAAGTTGCAGAAAAAAAAAGATCAAAGATCATTTTCAACGCAGGGAAAATGGAAATCTTCAGAATTTTCCATTTTCGTAAAATTTCATTCTCTATTTTTGCTAAATTAAATAATTTTTCACGATTACATTTAGAAGAAACTGAATATTCGAAAAATTATAATGGAATTTCAATTATTGTCAGAATTTATTTAATAATTGAAATAGAATTTTAATTATTGACAGAACTTATTTATAATAATTAAAATAGAATTTTAATTAATGGCAGATTTTATTTATTAATTAAAATAGAATTTTAATTATTGTCAGAATTTATTTAATAATTAAAATAGAATTTTAATTATTGGCAGAATTTATTTAATAATTAAAATAGAATTTTAATTATTGTCAGAAATTATTTCATTCTCTATTTTCTAATAAATTAAATCATTTGTCCCGAGTATGAAGAAAATTAATATTTTCAAATCATAATAAAATTTCAATTATTACCAGAATTTATTCAATAATTAAAATAGAATTTCGATTGTTCTCAGGATTTATTTAATAATTGAAATAGAATTTTAATTATTAACAGAAAGAATTTGATAATTAAAATAGAATTTTAATAATAAAAAGGAAATATAATTTAATAATTGGCTTCCGTTTCCGGTACCGTTTCGGTGTACACGCGTTTGGAAAGAGTTAAGAGTTTTTTTGAGAAATATAAAGGTTTTAAAAAAGGGTGGGTAATGTAGAGTGCTGAGTGTGTAGTGTAATTTGCGGTAGTGTAAAGGAAAGGTATGTTGGTATAGAGTAGTGAATGTGTGAGTGATAAAAAAGGTAAAAAAGAGAAGTGTGTTTTGTGAGGTTAGGTTGCTTGAAGTGAGAGAGAGGAGAGAGAGACAGTGGAAAAATTTTGAGCATTTGAGTGATAAGGTAGATTTCTGGAATGGCTGAGTTTGACTCAAGTAGTGTTAGCCAGAGAGTATTAGGGAGAGTGGAAGGTGACCGTACACGCTACTAGTAGCGCACTCTGGTGGGTCGTTCCCTTTTTAAAATATATATGTATAATGTTTTGAATGTACTGTATGTATTTGTGCTCAACTGTTTGTGCTTTGTTGTGCTTGTTTGCAAACAGTTGGAGAAGCGTGATTTACAAATTTTATGCAAAAATGTTATATTGTAGTGTAGAAAATTGCAAAAATGGGACATATACGAAAATGTGCCAAGGATTTTCATCGTTTAGGTTACCAAAATCTAATTCAACGTAAGTATATATTTGATTTTTAGTAAACGTAACCTCACTTTTTTACACGATGAAATATAAACTTTTGAAATACTGTCATATTATTACTTAAGTATACACAGAATTCTAAATTTTTATATTAAAAAGTTGTTGGAAATATTTATTATTATATTATTTATATTATTATTATATTATTTTTGTCATGAAAATATAATTTTTTATCCTTGAATTAAAAATAAAAAATTATAACATTTCGCAGTCGAAGAAAATGGCTCAAATTCGCTGGGGTTAAAGAAACTACAAAGTTTCGAATCTGCGCGGAACATTTCGACAAAAAATGTTTTAAAACATTTCATCCCAGGCCCTTATTGAAGCCAGATGCAATTCCAACTTTGCACAAGGGAAAGAAGTGCACCGCAGGGCGAAGTAAGTATTTTTTACGTAATAATAAATAATGATATGCACATAATTTATAATTTTAAAATCACATTAATATAAATTTAAACAATTGATATTACAGGTAGCAAGGTAAGCAGCGAGAAAGAAATTGTCAATATTGCTACAACTATTGGCACTCAAACTGAGGAAAATAAAAGTGACTGCACCAGTGAGCAGTTAAATATTTCGAAAACGCCAGCCTCAACGATGAATGGAGAAAATATGGTGTCACAAGTTGAACTTGCTTGTAGTAAAGTTCGAAATATAACAATAACTGGTAAGACTTTTAAAACGTTTACTCTATATAATTTAGGAGATTGTACTCTAAAAATACAATTTGAACGATAGAAATTAGTTAATATCTTTATATTGTACATGTGTGTCATTTTTGGTTTTATTGAGTACATAATATAATTATATAAAGTAAATAAAATATGAATGACAATAATATTTAAAATAAACAAAAGTTTTTCAGGAATTTCTGGATTAAAATTTATTTATAAAGATAAATTAAAACTCGTGTAAATCATCTCGTTAATTTATATTAATAAATAATTTTTAATCCACAAATTACTCAAAGTTTTGTTTATTTGAAATTACTTACTGAATGTGCATGTATTTTTGCATAATATTTTAATAATAATTAAAATTGAACATAAACTCAACATGAACTACAAATATGTTAAATGCTTATTGTAATTAAATTATAATTTTTCATTATTATAAAAAATCAATTTTTTAATTCATTATAATATGAAAAATTTAATTGTACATAAATTTTTCGATAGATCACGTTAAAAATATTGTAAAATAAATTGTATATGAAATAAATGTCAAGTTTTAAAAATTGTTTCTTTTTTATTATAGAGACCAACGCCGTAGGGTTAATTTCTCCTTCTACCCATCCTTCAATCTACTTCGGATCACCAATTTCATCAAAAGATAAATGCGCGGAAACATGTTTGTCATTAAAGAAATGCAGTACTAGCAAAAATTTATTACCTCTTTTTTACACAAGCAGTCCTCAATCACATTCCAGACAAAGTGAAATGACACATAATTTAATGGAAGATACAAGTTCATTGTCTCCAGTAACTTCAACCACAACACATCCTAATGTCACAACAGTTACTACACCGTCAGGTCGTTGCAACGTGAATGAATCCGTCACCACACCTTCCAGAGAAAATAACGTCGCGAAAGTTGTTAATACACCTTCTGGACAAAGTTCAATTTCTAATGGTTTTTTTACTCCTTCAAGACAAAATTCAGTTAGAGATGTTTTTAATACACAAAGTGGGTCATGTGAAGTTATGAACGCTGGAGAGACTTCAAATAAAGGTATATCAAATTTAACTCTAAATTATTCCGAAAATAATAATGAATCAACATTAAAAGCCTCAGTTGATAAAGTTACGAATATTTCACCAAAGACTTTAAAATTAAACAGTTATAAGCGAACGATAGCTTTATTGCGAAGTAGAATTAATAGATTAAAACAAACAAAAAATAGTCGAATAAATGATAAGCAAAAAACGAAAGTACATCTTGAAAAACTCATAAAAGAAACTTCTTCGTATCTTCGAAAGGAGGCTCAAATTTTATTTGAAACCCAATTACGACTGTCTCAATGCAAAAAATCTGGCAGACGATACAGTGATGAATTAAAAGATCTCTGTTTGTCTATGCTATATTTATCACCTAGAAATTATAAATTGTTGAGAAACATTTGTAGTTTACCATCTGAACGAACTCTGCGAGAGTACCAACGTAGAGTTCCTGTTTCCCCTGGCTTCAATAAAACCATTATGTCAGAATTAAAAAATCAATTTAAAAATCAGCCCATTGAAAATAAGGTAGTCACTTTATTGTTCGACGAAATTAATTTAGTTTCGGAAATACACTACGATCCCAATACTGACAAATTCGTCGGCGTTGCTGACGATGGGGTGCATCGACAACCGAAAGCAGCTAAATCTGCTTTAGTTGCAATGATTTCCTGGATTCATATGAAAGCTAAGCAACCAATAGGTTATTGGTTTCTTGGCAGTGAAGGTAATTCAGAAAAAACGCATGATATTATGTTGTTAACAATAGACGAAGTTTTCAAAGAAACAGGTTTAATTGTGAAAGCTATTATTTGCGATCAAGGGCCAAGAAATCAGGGTATTGTAACAAAATGGGACATCACTTCTAAGAAACCTTATTTTGTACGCAATCAACATAAAATATTTATAATTTTTGATCCTCCACATCTATTGAAATCTCTTAGAAATAATTTATTAACAAAAATTTTGAATTACAATGGTGGTAAAATATCGTGGAAAGAATTGGAAGCAGTTTTTAAATTAAGCAAAGAAACAGATTTAAATTTACTTCCGAGAATTACAGAGAAACATTTTGATTTAGGTAATTTTAGTAAAATGAGAGTTTCCTTAGCTTCACAAATATTCTCAGAATCTATGCACACTGCTTATAAAGTTTATAGAAATTTCTTGCCCGACCGCTTTAACGAAACATTTGATGCCACTTTACCTTTCGTTTTAGACATCGATCGATTATTCGATTCTTTAAACTCTTCTTTAATAAGCCAACCAGCTTCTAAAAAATTAAGATATGCCATTACTGAAAATTCAGAGCACATTCTTTTTTTAAAAGAAATGTCCCAAAAATTGCAAACTGCTCGATTTGAAGGGCGTCAACCAGCTTGTTTAAAAGGTTTGGTGCTTACGATTCATTCTGTTCTTCAATTGTCGGATGATTTGCGTAAATCATACAATATTTCTTCTCTTTTAACCCGTAGGATGAATCAAGATCCATTAGAAAATTTCTTTTCAACTATAAGACAAGCACACGGTTGTTCAACAGATCCTTCACCAAAGCAATTTGAAAATGCTTTTCGTCAACAATTAATTACTTATTTGGGTAAATTGTCAAAACTATCTAATTGCGAAGACGATGATAGTAAAATGATTCTTCAGTTGCGAAACATTAAAAACATTGAAATGCAAGTGCCATCAAAAATTCCTCAAGTAGAAGTTAATATTTCAAACTATGAAAAAATATTCACTGAATCACAGGAATTTACACAGTCCAGTGCAGCGTATTACTGTTCGGGATATGTTGCTAAACTGTTTTTTTCTCAACACTCTTGTGATTTATGCATAAACATTATAAAACAATCAGATAATGATATTTATAAAGATTATCAAGTTTTTACACATTTAAAGTCGTACAGTGATACACAAGGCTTAATTTTTGTCAAGGAAAGCATTTTTCAATGTTTTCTCGAGTGGGAGGAAAAATTTAAGAGTATAATTAAAGCTAATTATCATTTGAAAAACATTTCTCTAATTCTGTCATGTATTCTAAAACACAGTTGTTCTTCTATAAACCTTTGCACAACTGAAACTTCTGAAACTTTTTTAAAAATATTTCTTCGGGTAAGATGCCATTGGGAAGCTCGGTTTATAAGACGCGCTTTAAGTTTAATAAAAAAAAGAAAGTCGTGTCCTGAAGGTAATTTAATAGATAAAGATTTTAAAAAGATGTCACGATTTATAGGAAAAATTTATTAAATCATACTCTGTCATAAAAAACGTGCTGTAATCGGTTAAAATAACGAAATTTTATAATATTACTATATTTTAAAACATGTTAAAACTACGAAAAGATTTATGTAAAAAATGTTTTAATTATAAGCCTTGATAACAAACAGCAGTTTGTATGAGATCTCGTTTATATATTAAATGAAATTTATATATTTAATGCGTATGTGTTCACGTTTTCAAAAATAAATATTTATACGTATAAATTATATTTATATGAAAACAACATTAAAATAGTATTTTTTCGTTATATTTCAAACGTTTTTTTATATTCACATGTATTTTTTTAATTACGACAAATAAAAATATTTTTTAAATTAATTTTGCATCACACTTATTATTTATAAAAAAATGTTTGAACAAAAATTTATTTAATTTAATAAAAATATGTAATTAAATATAATCCGGAAATTTGAATTTTCCCGCTAATGCTCTTGGTGGGGGAAATTCGTGTCGGAACGAACCTGTTGAGGGCGCTGAAAATCGTGTACGATTATTTACATTGCTCTCTTATGGGACCTTCCACTCTCCCTAATACTCTCTGGTGTTAGCGAGAATGAGAAAAAGGCGCGGGTATTTGAAAGGGGAATAGGAAAGAATGGAAAAAAGATGACGTGTGAGGATTGCATGGATTTGTTAGAATTAGTATGGATGATGAAGGACGCGATGGATGAAGGAGCGAAGAGAGTAAGGGAAAATTTGATGGATATATGTGAGGATGGGGAATCAAGGGACAAAGAGATAGTGGAAATTGAAGAGAGGTTGGAGAAATTGCAGGAAATGTGGAATGAATGGGATAGTAAGTGGAAAAAGGATAAGGAAAGCATGTGGAGAAGAATGAATGGATTAGAAAAATTTATAAAGGAAGTGAATGAGGGGACTGAGAAAGTTGAGGGAAGTGAATATGAGAGGTTAAAGTGGAAAATGGGAGATTTGTCAAGACGAGTGGATGTAGTAGAAAATGAAAAAAGGAAAAAGAATGTAGTGATCAGAGGTATGAATGTAGGTGTGTTGGAGGGTAAAAGAGCAGTGGAAAAAGTGTTGGCGTGGGTGGGGGTTAATGTCTCAGTGAAAATGGTACAAGCGTTAGGAAAGGGTGAATATGGGGTACCAAAGTTATGGTTGGTGGAGTTGGGTAGTGAGGAAGAGAAAATGGATGTAATGAGGGTGAAAGGAAGACTGAAAGGAAGTGTAATAAGAATAGATGAGGATAGATGTTGGAGAGAGAGAAGAATGCTATGGCTATTGAGAGAAAGAGCGTGGACGGAGAGAGTGAAAGGAAAACAGGTAAGAATGGGTAAGGATTGTATTTGGGTGGATGGGGTAAAGTATGTTGTGGGGGAGGATATGGGTGGAGTGATGGAAGTGTGTAAAGTGTGATAGACAGGTATAGGCTGAGAATGAGGTGAGAAGATTTTGCTTGGATGGATGGATGGATGGATAAAAGTGGATGACTGGAGCGTGTAAGGGAGGTGAGAAAGCAGGTTTTTGAAAAAAGGGTGGGCGAATTGGGTTGAAGCCAGCATGGGCATAGAAGGAACTGGAAACGGAAGCCCGGCACTGGCGATAGGTTAAGAGCGTAAGGTAGAGAGCGTGGAGAGAGTTGCGTTTTTTAGGTTAAGTTGTATGAAGAGAATGTTTAGTTGTAAGGATTTTTGTAAATATAGGTTAAGATTGTTATGTATGTACTTGGGAGTCTCGAACCCTACCTATTGTAGGGAGAGTAAATAAACTATATATATATAATTTAATAATTAAAGTAGGATTTTTATTAACGGAATATAATCAACAAAATTAAAAATAGAATTCTAACTATTGCAGAATTTATTTAATAATAAAAATATAAAGCTCCAATTATTAAATAAAAGTTCTCTCAATATATTTCAATTTTACTTTCTTTTCTTTTAATTTGGTTTAAATTTAGTTAATTTATTTAATGAAATCAATTAATTAATTTAATTATTCAGTAAGTTGTTCAACTAATTAAATGAGATATTCGATCAGCCCGCTTTTATTTTTTTTACAATTAAACGAAACTTCTATTTGGAAATTCAATCACTATATATAGTAAAGAATAAGAGGATATTATCAATCCTCTTTTTTTACTCTCCCTCGCTCCTTTTTTTCATCCACTATTTTCGTTCATAAAGGAAATTACCAACGTTCATTTGAGCAAATTTCAAAGGGATCTGATTTTACGCAGTGGAGTTTGCCTATTCATGCGAGCAAAATTCAAATCACAAGGCAATGGATATGAAAAAAGTCTCACGACGAAAAAATATTGTCATAAATGAAAAAAACGAACTTTCCTTCAGTCGTTATATTCTCATTGATGAAAATATTGAAAGAGAGAGAGAGAGAGGATGAAAAAATGACAGAAAAAACTAGAGCTAATGAATACCGAACGTGTCTAATGAAAGAAAAAAAAACATTTGCAAAAAAAAAAAAAAATGAGAAACGTTTAACGTCAAATTTCACGAAGAGAGAATACTCTCAAGAATAATAATTAACTTCGATAAAATACTATAGAAAATAGAATTCTTTCGAATTGCTCCAATTTAGGAATAAATTTAATTATTCCTTTTTAATTTACTTTCGCTTCAAATGATTCTTATTTATTTTAATATTTAATTAAACAACTAGCTTTACTACACGCGCGCAAGCGCGCGTGGAATTTTCGGGGCCATTGTTAATTTAAAAAAATTTTCTTTTAAAATTTAATAAAAAATCGTTACTTTAAAAAAAATTATTTTATTAATATATTATTACATATTATTATTATCAATTTTTAATTGTTTAACAATTAAACCTTAATTATTGATTTAAAAAAAAATAAATTCAATCGTGAACTGAAAAAAATTAATTTTTTGGTTTTTTTTCGACAACATTGTCGTTAACTTCGGTACTTTTATTTAATTTTTTAATTCTGAGCATTCCTTTGCTCAAGTACGCTGCTGTCACTTTCTCAGTGCTTATTATTTCCAGCTTATTTAAGTCTGTTACCTCTAAGACTGGAGGATCTACAATAAACAAATTTTTATCATATTATTAATATTATTCTTATTTATTTATATAATCTTATATATTACAGGGCTCGGATCGACTTTAAGACTCAAAAAAAGTAGCTTTAGTCGCATAAATTCACAACAAAAGTCACGAAAAGTCGCATAAAATTTGCAAAAAAGTCGAAAAAAAGTCGCATGGAATTTTAGAAAAAACGACAAAAAGGAAACACGAAATTGTCAAAAAATCACATTTCTCGACAACACATACTTTAATATCAAACAATCCAGAATAAAATTTAATAAAATTTAATAAAATTCAAAGCAAAATTTTAATTAGGTATTTTTAACATTTTTTAAAAAATTTTCTTTCAAATGTAAAATATTTTTATAAATAATAAAATTCTTCTCCTAAATTCAATTATTTAAACAAAAATTTATTAAAATTCTTGTCAAAATTTCAATTATCTTTATAAATAATAAAATTCTTCGCAGAAATTCAATTATATTCAAAATTTTTTTTTAAATTCTCGTAAAAATTTTATAAATAATAAAATTCATTATGGAAATTTAATTATTTTCAAAAGTTCTGATAAAATTCTAATACAAAATTCAATTATATTCAAAAGTACGAAAACTCTTTGCTGAAATTCAATTATTTTCAAAAAATTATTTTAAATTCTCCTCACAATTTCAATTATCTTTATAAATATCAAAATTCTTCTGCAAAATTCAATTACTTTTAAACATTTTTAAAGAAATCTGTTCAAAATTTCAATTATTTTTATAAATAATAAAATTCTTTTCTGAAATTAAATTATTTGTAAAAATAATAATAAAATTCTTGTCAAAATTTCAATTATCTTTATAAATAATAAAATTCTTCTCTAATATTTAATTATTTTCATAAGTAATAAAATTCTTCGCAGAAATTCAATTATATTCAAATTTTTTTTTCAAATTCAAATTTTCTCGATAAAATTCTTTACAAAATTCAATTATCTTCCAAAGTAAGAAAATTCTTCTGCAAAATTCAATTACTTTTAAATATTTTTAAAAAAATTTGTTTAAAATTTCAATTCTCTTCATAAATGAATAATAAAATTCTTCTCTGAAATTTAATTATTTGTAAAAATAATAATGAAATTCTTGTCAAAATTTTAATTATCTTTATAAATAAAAAGATTCATTCTAGAAATTATATTATTTTCAAATTTTTTTTTAAATTCCTCGTCAAAATTTTATTTATCTTCATAAATAATAAAATTCATCCTGGAAATTTAATTATTTTCAAAAGTTCTGATAAAACATTAAGAAATTAAGAAACGAGATAATATGTTATGTTTTTTTCCCTAAAGAGAAGAATGATTTTGTGAACAATATTGTTTACAAAAAAAGATTTCTGCCATTTACAATTTAAGTCAAAAAGTAATTGAAAAATTTGAAAAAATTCGATTAGTCGCATTTTTTCACAAAAAAGTCGAAAAAAGTCGAAAAAGTCGCACAATCCGAGCCCTGATATTATTATTATTTATTTATATAAATAACATTTTAATAAATTTTAAAAATATTTTCACTACATTATATATATATATATATATTTTTCATAATATTATAATAATTACTAAGGTGACTTACTTCCAAAGTTAATTTTTCCTCTGACTTTAATTTTCAAGCCTTTTTCAAATTGATTCAAGTTTTCCAATTCAAAATTATTAATTTTCATCTCCAATTTTTTATTGTCCTCCATTATTGAGCAGCAAGCATGTTGGTATTGATTGTTTTTTCCCTTAACTGCTTGAAAAGCAGTTTTTATATAGCCAATTATTTCTGTAAAAAAATAAGTAAATTATAAAAATAGAAGATACTAAGACAACTATTATTTAAAGGAAGATATTACATAATATTATCATAAATAATTAAATAAGTTGAAATAAATTTTGTAAATGATAAATTTTAAAATTAATTAAGAATAAATAAATAATTAAAAAATAATAAATAAATTAACAACTCACCAATTTCACTTCCATTTGGAGCATTTTGAATTGTTTCAAAGGTGCACTCCAAAGTTTTATCTTCTGTGTCTGTTTTTTGCACCCCTAAAACAGTTATTTTTGTATTTGATTGTATTGATAAATCAAAATGCAAGTTTCCTCCTAAATCTTGATTTGAAAAAAATTGTTTTTTGGAAGCAACAGCATCCAAATGCAAAATCTAAAAAAATTATTAATGATTAATTAATTTACTAAAATTATGTTATTAAAACAATATAATATATACAGGCAAACTTCGCTACGGCGGAAAGCAATTAGACGATTCCGCCGTAGAGAGGTTCGTTAAAATGTTATTAGTGAGTGAACGTTCAGGAATATATCAACCATTTTAAATGATATGATTTTTAAATTTCAAATAGAAGTTATGATAATTTATTAATAACCTTATTTAAAAATATGTATGAAAAATCATTGAGTTCTTGCAAAGAATTTTGTCAAAAAATTTGAGAATAATTGAATTCTTTCGCAGAATTTTATTATTTATGAAAATAATCGAATTCTCGCGAAAAATTTAATTAAAATTTATAAAAATCTTAACTAAATTCTTTTGAAGAATATCTTTAAACTTTTTTAAAATAATGGAGTTTCTTTAATAGTTATAATTAAAAATTTTGAAAATAATTAAATTATACAAAAAATTTTTTTAACTTCTTAAAATAATCGTGTCTGTTAATAGGTAATTTTAAATATTTGATTTTTTAAGTTTATTAAAATTGTATTGAAAATAATTGAATTCCTCAGGAGAATTTTATTATTTATAAAAAATAATTTAATTTTTGTGATGAATTTTAAAATAATTAATTAATTTTTTTAAAAATAACTTTGATTTGTTATTCCATTTATTTTATTATTTTTCATGTTTATTTTTTATAATATATAAAATATATCATAAAATAAACAAAAATTATAAATCAAATATAAATTAAATAATTTAAATAAAAAAACATCCATATAAAAATTACAATTCGAAACTTTTCGGCCCTGAATTTCATAGCACTCACACAGTCTCAACTCTCACTGATATAATTCCTTCTACTTCTACTTGGCGAGTATCCGCCGTAGCGTGGTTTGCCTGTATTATATATATTATTGGTCTAATTATTAATTATTATTTAAATTCAATAAAAAAATTAATTAAATAATGAACTTATTTATTTAATTATCTAATTTAAATTTGAAAATTTTATTTGAATTTGAAGTTTAGACTTAGGGGCTGTTCAAAAAATACGTAACGCTATTTTTCGGAAATTTGGACCCTCCCTCCCCCCATGTAACGCAATGTTGTATACATTAGCGCCATTTTTTCTGCTGACCGTAACAAATAGCTTGATCCCCCCCTCCTTCCCCCTAAAGCGTTACATATTTTTTGAACGGCCCCTTATAAAAAAAAAATTAAGAAAGAAAATAACTTACGAAATTTTGACGAATGAGTCCATTCGTTCTTTTTATCTGCTCATTCCAAATTTTCAAAACAACTTTCGAACCATTAGCATTGCTTAAAACAGCGGTTTGTAAAAAATGCTTCCCATCTTTCCCAGTCACAGTTGGAGCTGTCACACTCTCCACAAACAGAACAAGTTCACTAAAAAACGTAAAAACGATTTTGTATAATAAGAATGTTAATTTTTAATAAAATTGTTTAAGAATCATTTTATAAGAATATTATTATCAATATTAATTTTTTTAAAATATTTTTAATTGTATTAATTTGAACATATATTAAAAGTACATAATCTCTTTGTTATTATTAATTAAAAATTTTAGAAATTAAATAAATTAAATTAATGTTACTTACTTTGTTGAGTCTTGACATTTTACTTCTTTTAACATCTCATTGGATGAAAAAGTTACACCTTCAAACTTCGAAAGATCAATTTTTCTGTTCATTTTTAATCAAATTGCAAATATTTCTAAATGCGTACACGTCAATTAGAATACAAGTATTAAAGCGAATTAAAAGGAATAACTGAATAGTTTTTAAAGAAATGAATAAATTTAAAACAAATGAACTTTTGGTTAGGTATCAGTCCACGAGGTTCACGAAAAATTAATTTATGAAAAAAAAGACGCTTGATATTTTCGTTATTTTCATTCATTAACCCAGGGATGGGTAAATGTAACAAACTCGAGGTTTTCTACGTATGTTACATAAGGTAACATACGTACGTAACCCCCCACTCTCGAAAAATACATGGATGTAACAATGTAAGAACGTAACATATAGTAATAAACCCAGGTAACATTCGCAGGGTGGCCACCAAAACTCCTGAATAAAATTCACGTCTATTTCTCGGTTTTTTCAAGGTTTCTAGGAAATTTTCAAGGTTTTTTTGTTGGTTCAAATTTTATTATAGTAATAATACTTAAAAAATTCAACTACTACCACATTTATTATTATTTTTTATTGCCGAATTTTGTATAGACTTTTCTTACGATTCTGAACAATCAATCGTTTAGATTTTAAAAAATTCAAGGTTGCCACAAATATTTAATTTTATTTTTCCCTGACTTTTTCCTGATCTCCAGACAAAATTTTCACTTTTCCCCTGACCATAAAGAATATTCTGATTCACTCTAAAAATTATTAGACACTCAAAAAAACATTCTATTATATTTACTTACGAATTTCTTAAATCGTAAAATTATTCGCAAACATCAATAACTAAATTTTTAAATAAGTATTTAATTATTATTTTTCCATGAGAATTAAAATTCTTCAAAACATTCAAATTCAAAAATTTTTAAAATTCAACAACTTATATATTATTAAAAAATTTTTTTAAATAATTGAATTCTTTTGAAAATTTTTATTAAAACTGTAGATATTGAAAATCATTGAATTGAGAAAAATTTTTTGAAAATAATTGAAATTTTGCAAAGAATTTTATTAAAATTTTTGAAAATAATTTAAATTTGGAGAAGAATTTTATTATTTTTAAAGATAATTGAATTTTTATGAGAATTTTTTTTAACTTTTGAACATAATTGAATTTTTGCGAAGAATTTTATTACTTTTGAAAATAATTGAATTTCTGCAATCATTTGTAACTTCTCCAAAATTCAATTTTTTCCAGTTACTCAAATAAAAATCTCTGACTTTTCCCTGACCAATTTTACTTTCCCTGACTTTTCCCTAATTTCCCTGACCTGTGGCAATCCTGAAAAATTTTAATTTTCTCAAAAAATAAAATTTTGAAAATGGTCAAAAATTTTTTTTTTAGTTTTAATAATATATAATACTAAAGTTCAAGGTTTTTAAAAAAATTCACGATTTTTTCAAGGTTTGACAAAATTCACGTCTATTTCAAGATTTTCAAGGTTTCAAGGTCCGGTGGCCACCCTGTATATAGTAGAATAAATGAATTACAATTGAAAATAATTTTTATTTTTTATTGAATTGAGAAACAATTGTTAAATGACATTAAATGACATTGAATATTACATTATTTTAACAAGAGAATTGTTGCATTTTGTAATTTCAAAATATTTCATTTTTTTCTCATCAATTATTTTGATGCACTTGGTGTTGTCAATTGATAGATAAATCAATTTCTCGTATTCTAAAAAAGATAACAAAATTAATATTCACATTATATTTATAATAATTATATATAATAAAAATATTAATTGAAATTTATTTGAAGCGTTTTGTTCAGAAACCGCATAAGTCCATTTTTTTCGAAAATCACTTTATTATTGAAAATTTATATTTAAATGAATATAATGCAAAAAGCCGAATTAAAAAAATCTTAATATTTACAAGAAAAATAGTTTCTATTGATTCCTGAACAATTTCGAATTATGGACTTATGCTGTTTCTGCACAAAATACTTCAATTAATTTATTTAAAAATATAATTATATAAAATACTATATAACAATTATTGAAACAAAATATTTACTTAATAAAAATTTATAATTTAATTAAAAAAATTTTTTATACAATAAATATTAATTGAAATTTAATTATTTTTAGGGTGGCCACATGTTAGTAAAGTCAGTAAAGTCAGTAAAGTCAGCGAAATGCCAGGAAAAAAAATATTTTGACAGTAAAGTTAAGGAAATGTCAGGAAAAAAATTTTTGTCAGTAAAGTCAGGGAAATGTCAGGAAAAAAAATTTTTTGTCACTAAAATCAGGGAAATGTTAGGAAAATTTTTTTTGTCAGGGTAATTAAAGAAATTAAGACCGTTATGCAATATATTTTTTGCTCTAAACAAAAAAATGTTTGTTAGGGAAATTCGTTGTTATGTCAGTAAAATGTCAGGAAGATGTCAGGGAAATTGATAAAATCAATCTTGCGGCCACCCTGATTTTATTTAAAATAATAAAATATATTATTTAATTAATATTAAATAAATGTTTATTAAAAAAAATATTTAAGTAAAAAATAATAGAAAATAGAATAGAAAAATTTTCATATATTTCGTTACATTTATTTGTGAATTTTAAAATCATAATAATATATAATAGCAATTATTGAAACAATATTTACTTAGTAAAAAATTTATAATTAAATTAAAAAAAAATTTTATACAACAAATATTAATTGAAACTTAATTAATTCATTTAAATTAATAAAATATATTATTACATTCTTATTAAATAAAAAATATTTAAGTTAAAATAATAAAAAAGAAAATAGAAAAATTTTCATATATTTTATTTTATTTACTTGTAAATTTTAAAATTCCTTCTACTTCTACATGGTCTCCTTTCTCTAGATATTCTGTATCCGCTGCAAAGTCCTTAATTCTGATCTCCATTTTATAATTTCCATTTGTCAATGTTCCAACTCCATACCAAATGTGTTCTTCGTTTGTGGTGTATGTGAGAAGACGAAAAGCCGACTTAATAAAACCTTTAATTTTGACAAATCCGCTTTCAGAAGAAGCATCCTCGAACTCAATAGTTTTAGGTTTTCTGATGTTTTCCATTTGTTTGCAATTTTCAGATTTTAAAACAGTAAATTTCGTGTGTTCCTTAACATTTAATTGGTAACTTGTTGTCCCTTCATTAAATTTGGGATCTTTGAAACTTAAAGCTTCAGCTCCTTCGATGAGTAAAACCTATTTTATTATGAAAAAATTATTATTTACAATTAAACCTTTTAAATTAATAATAATAATTATTATCATTAAAATGAATAAATTAGTATTATTAGATCTGTGCTCTAATTATTATATTTATTATTATAAATTGTTTATTACCATGTTAACTTGCAAGTCAGGTTCAATTCTGTCAATCTCCTTTCCCCACACTGACACCATACATCTTGTCCCAGAACCATTGTTTAAAATGAACGACATAACTCTGTACTTCGTGTTCCTCCCGACAATTTTAGAGGCTGTAACTTTGTCAACGTAACCCGTAACCTCGCTGTAAAGTAATAAATAAATTAATTTAAAAAACAAATAATAAAAATAAAACTACATTTAATATTATTAATAAATGATAATTAAAATAATGAGCAAATAAATAATAATAAATAATTATCAATATAAGTAAATAAAATTTAATATACATTACATATTTATAAAATAAAATTTATTTTTAAAAATTTTTCATAATAAATAATTTTGAAATAATACATACAGACTCGTATCATTTGGTTCAATGGCATCAAATTCTTCATTCGATGTGAAGATTATTTCGTTATCTTTCGGTTCAGGTTCCGGTTCCGGTTCCGGGACTCTCATTTCTTCATCGTCTCCTTCGTGCGAATGAGGTTCGCTACTTTTTCCAAGATCATTAATCCTTAAAAATTAGAAAAGGAAGTAAAAATTATTATAAAAATAATTTTTTAACAGAAATCATTTGAAATTAATTTTAATTTAAAAAATTATTTTAAAATCTGTTAAAGATATAATTATATATAATTTTTTACTTTTTATTCAATTCAAAAATATTAATCATGTAATTATAATTAAAAATAGAAATTATAATAAATAAAAAAAGTTATTCTATTGAAATAAAATGCAGTAGACAAAAAATTATATTTTTAATTTATAATTTAACTTACTTGCTTAACGAATCCATGAGTTTTGTTGAGTGAGCCTCAAATTCATCAATAGTTGTTGATAAAATAATTTTTGTTTTTTCTGGAATCGTTAAACTCATTTTGATTTTTGTGAGAAATTGAAAGTTTTTTGACACAATTTTAACACAATTCAAAATGTCTACCTTTTCGTTTTCTTTTGTTAATGTATATATATATATATATTCAATTCAATTGTTTATATAACAAATTATATATAATATATTAATAAAAAAATTAATTTTTATTTTTAATAAATAAATTAATAAAATAGAGAAAAATATAGATTAAATGTATTAATTATATTTTTTAGCTTCAATTTGATAAATAATATTATATTTTTATAATATTCATTAATTAATTACTTACTTTTATTAACTTTATACCTATATATTTAAAAAAATTCGAATTTTAAATAGTAATTATTTATAGAAGTTAATTTTGTTATGTTTCAAATATTTTAAATAATTTTTTTTTAATTTTTCCAAAATTATTAATTTTTAATAATAGAAACTTTTTATAATAAATCATTATTTCTTAGTTTTGATACTTTAGCAAAGTTAGTCTTCTACTTTTTCATAATTTTAATTAATTAATTAATTAATTAATTATGTATTAAGGTACAAAAATTATTTTACTGTATTTGAATTGATGATGACATCGTTTGGGACTGACTTTTCATAAACTGTGAAATATAAAATTATTAAGTATCATAATTAAAAAAAATTAAATTAGCAATAATTAAATATTTAAAATTAATTTCAAAAATTGTGTTTATTTTAAAAGTATAATAATACTTATTATTAAATTACATGATCATTCATTTTTAAACATTATTAACCACAATACTTTTAATTGAAAAAAATCGTAAATCTCATCAAATGTGGGGAACCATTACACCAAGTTTGGTTACTTTGGTACTCTTGTGAATAAAAAATTCGTATTTTTCGCCATTAATACTGAATTTTTGATTTTTAATTTTCTTTACTCTAGCACCTTCAATGTAAAGAACCTATTTAAAATTTTTAATTTATATTAATATTAAATAATATAATAAATATTCGCACATATTAAATAAAAAACTTTAATAATTACATTATGTAATTCTAAAAGCGTTTGTATTCTTTGAATTTCATTTTTCCAAACAACTACTTTGAACTTTTTGCGATTGATATTTAATACAAAATACATCATTAAAATAAATCTTCCATGCTTAAATGGACTTATATATTCAACATAACCTGTTATATTACTGTAAAAATAATAATTATATTATTAATATTATCACTATAATATAATTGAGAATTTCTATATTTTTTATAACGATAATCAAAATATTTTTTTGAAATGTAATTGAAAATTTTTCAATTTCAGACTTCGCATTCAATAATTTATTTTCAAAAAGTAGCAAAAAGTTTCTTCAAGATTGAAAAAAGTAGTAAAAAAGTATCTATCGAAAAATTAAATTTTAACAACTAAAAAACGTTTTAATCGATTCACAAAAATTAAAAATTAATTGTTAAATAATTTTTTGAAATTTAATTATTTCTAAAAAATTAATACTACGTTAATGCTTTCAATATTCAATTATTATTTAAAAAAATATAAACTAAAATTCATTTTTATATAATTTTTGTATTTAAAAATTCTACAAAAATTTAATTATTTAGATGCAAAAATAAAGATTTTATTTATAGAATAATTAATTATTATTTTTAAAAATTGACTACTTGTCAAATTTTTTAAAAATAATTACATTTTTCGAAAAATAGATGAAAATAAGTGCATTTTTGCAACGAAAATTATCAATTTTTGTAAAAATAATTAATTTCTTTTGAAATATTTTTTTGAAATTTTAAATAATTTAATTTCTATAAATAAATTCCTTCAAATACTTAATTAAAAAAAGTAGTAAATAGTAAGTTTTCGTAAAACCATAGATGAATGCGAAATCTGTAATTTTTTTATTAAAAAAATTTAAAATGGTGTTTCTCTTACATGATTGAATTATCAATTGAATCTTCAGTATTTGATAATTGATTATTGAACATTAATAATTGCTCTCCTAGAGGAGGTTCATTTCTGCTGTTTTCGCTTACATCGTTAATCGATTCATTATTATTGATACTTAGATTTTCATTATTCCCTGTGCTCGTTTGTTCATTTTCTGATCCTAATTCATTTTCAATACATTTTTCTAATTTTTCAAACATTTCTTCCACATTCATTTTTCACTTTTAATTGAATTCTCTTCTCAGCTAATTTTCCTTGATTTGTTTTAAATAATATGTATTCTGGTCGTACGAAACAAAAACTTAGTGGTTGAGATAGATTTTCGCCGATTCACTTGTGTGAATGTGTCCCCTATCGACAAAGACAGTTAAGTAAAGGAGAAATTTCACGGATCAAAAAAATCGTGGATAAATGACGAATTGCTTTTTCACTACATCGAGATATTTCGATTTCAGGTGTGACGTCAGATAGCTGGAGGGAAAACAAACAGACAACACAATGCTATTCTTATGGGAGAAAAAAATTTTGTAACTTTTTTTCAATGTTTTGCAGATTTAAAGGATTTTAAACACTTTCTATCTACATATATGGAATTGAAACGAATTCTATAAAATAATTGTAATGGAATTTATAGTTTACACTTCACAGCAACTTGAAAATTAGCTAAAATGTATGTTTTTGAAGTTAAGAACGTTTGTTTACAACTATATATATTATTGCCCTATATTTTATGTATATAAAAAAATAATTGTAAACAAACGTTCTTAACCTCAAAAACATACATTTTAGCATATTTTCAAGTTGCTGTGAAGTGTAAACTATAAATTCCATTACAATTATTTTATAGAATTCGTTTCAATTCCATATATGTAGATAGAAAGTGTTTAAAATCCTTTAAATCTGCAAAACATTGAAAAAAAGTTACAAAATTTTTTTCTCCCATAAGAAAAGCATTGTGCTGTGTTATGAATTAAAAAAAGTTTTACCTTTCGTCATTCTTCATACATTTGTTAATAATTTTCATTATATATTAATAATAATATATAAATAATAAAATAATAATAATAATAATAAATAAATAAAAAAATAAAAATAATAAATAAATAATAAAAATAAATAATAATAAATAAATAAAAAAAAAATAAATAAATAAATAATAAATAATAAATAATAATATAATAATAATATATAAATATTATTGCTTTATTTTAGTGTTAGTATAGTAATTATTATTATTATTACAGTTTTGTTAACTTGTTATTTTGTCTATGGTATTGCCAATTTTCAGTTGTTATCGTTATCTAGTTATTATTGTTATTATATTATTTTTATTGTTATAGTAGTCATTTTGTCATTGTTATTGCCAATTTTTTATTTCTGTTGTTTTTTGTCATCAATAATGTCATTTATATTTTTATAGTCATTTTTTAATTTTATTGTTATTGTCATTTTGTCATTGTTATTTTTATTGCCATTTTTCATTTTTATTGTTAGTTTGCCATCATTAATGCCATTTTTATTTTTATATTGCCATTTTCTTATTTTCTTTGTGTGTTTGCCATCATTAATGCCATCTTTATTTTTGTTATTTTATTGCCATTTTTTTATTTTTTTTTATTGCCAATTTTCCAATTTTATTTTTATATTGCCATTTTGCCATTGTTATTTTTTTATTTTTGTTGCCATTTTACATTTTTATTGTTATATTTTATAAAAATGGATTATTCCATTTGAATAATTGACTTGTGCAAAAAATAAATTAACCTGTAATTATTTAATATTTGAACATTATAATTACGTATTAATTATTAATTAAACCTTCATTTAATTAATTTAATTAATTAAACCTTAATTAACCTTCATTTAATTTAATTAATTAAACCTTAATTAACCTTCATTTAATTTAATTTTTGCATAAATCAATTCTCCAATTTAAAATTTATCATTTACAGAATATATGTAGTTTTCAAGCTGTAATGAGAAAGTTAATGTGTGCGGCCATAAAAAACCGTGTATCTCTGAATTCTCGTAAAACGGGATAACGAAGGTCTCGGGGTATTATTGTATATTTGATTGTTTAGCTATGTAATATCTTGCTTTAAATGATAGTCTTCCTATATTAAGAAAATTTTATGCAGACTGCAGGCTTTTCATGGTTGAAATTAACCCTAACGGCATCCAAATATTTAAAATATCCTACGGATGTCCTAAAGATATCGGGAAAGTGTTATATCCGTAGAATGTCCCATAGATCTTCTGAGATATCTTAAGAACTGAAGGATATCCAGGAAATATCCAAACTCACAGTTTGTCGTAAAAAGGCGAGAATCTACTTCTGAAAGGTTAGCAGCAGTTCCTTAGGTGTAGATTCTCGCCTTTTTATGATGAACTGTGAGCCTTTAGACAAAGTGTTCTAGTGATTACCATAAAAAGCCTGTAATCAACTTAAAATTTTCTCAATATGGTAATCAAATCTTATACAATTTTCCAGAAAATATTTATTGAACATCCTAAATACTTATTTAATGTACAAAGATCTATAACGATTTTAAATTAAAGTATTTCATGATAAACGATATTTTTGACATACAATTTTTCTGGATATTCTGAATTTTTGTATACTGCAGAATTAACAGCTAGAATTTTTAAATTTTCCTTAGACTTAACTCGAGAACCACCAACATAAACTTGACCATGACCAAATGCTGAAATTGGTAAATATATTCCTACTTTATCAAATGATTGGCCCTGAGATTTATTAATAGTCATTGCATAGGCAAGTCTAATTGGAAATTGTCTTCTGACCATTTTGAAAGGAAGTGCGTCTTGTGAAGGCGATAAATCAATGCGAGGAATAAAAACTACTTCACCTTTAGATTTTCCAGAAATAATTTCTGCCAAAATTACATTCTGCAATAAAGATTTTACAACTAATCGAGTACCATTACATAATCCCTGAGCCAAATTCAAATTTCTCAACAACATAATTATGCATCCTACTTTCAACGGCAATTTATGAGGAGGTAAACCATCTGGTGTTAAACTATTTAAAAATTCTATTGGAATGAGATTATTTATATTTTCTGGATTATCATCATCAACATGTGAATCATTACTATAATAAACTACTTCTTCTGCTTCTAATCTTGACAAAATGCATTCATTCATGTCCAATACTTCAGCATTAGTTAATGAAAGAATACAAGAGGAGTAAACAGATGAATCATTTGGACTTATCGATGACCCATATATTTCATCAATTAAATTCCCATTTGAAATTAAATCTTCTGGAATTTCTAAAACATTATTTTCTTTCTCAAATGAACTTGCAGGTTTACCATCACCGACATTTAATAACCAATTTGAAAACTCGATCTGATCATTATTCAATCTGACATTAGCATGTAAAGATCTACTTTTAAAATGTTGCCATAATCTACTATTTTTCACACATACCTCAACAATGTGAGTACGATTACCGTGAGGAACAATAGGTAAAGTTTGTCGAAAATCTCCTGAAAGCAAAATAACTTTACCTCCAAAAGGTTTACTACATTTTGTTATATCTCTCAACATACATTCCATTGCTTGTAATGCATACTTAGGTGCCATTGTTATTTCATCCCAAATAATAATTTTGGCTTTTCTAAAAATTTCTGCATGTTTTGACATTCCACTAATATTACATTTTGAATCTTCATTAATTGGTATAGGAAATTTAAACATATTATGTGACGTTCGACCACCTTTTAAAAGGTTAGCAGCTATACCAGTCCATGCAACTGATAAAACTATCAATCCCTGACTTTCAACAGTTGTAATAATTGTATTATGTAAATAACTTTTACCACTACCTCCCGGTCCGTCAAGATAAATATATCTATTTTCGCAATTATCATCATATACTGCCATCAAAACATCATCAAAAACTTGACGCTGTTCGTTATTTAAACTTTCAATAAGAATATTAGATTCTTCTTTAAGCAATTTTAATGCTAATGCATTATTTTCCGTATCTACAGAATTATATTGTTCAAGAAGTTTCTGATCTATATTAGGCAAACCAAATTGATGTAATGAAAATCCATGAAAATTAAGTACTTCATTAATTAAAATTAACGACTTTTGAATTGATACCTCCGCTGGTAAATTATTATCAAAATCATATCATCTTTATATTTATTCCATAAATCAATAGCATTCGCAGGCAATCCAAATACACATATGTATGCAAATAATCTACAAAGTTCTTTAGGAAATTTCAAGTTTACAGCTTCAGTTAAACAATTATCCCATTCATTATCATCAACCATTAAATTTCTGGCACGAGCTGCTTCCGTAAAAGAATTATATCTTATACCTTCATACGTTCTTACATCTTCAAATGATTTAGCACCACGTACATAAAGTAGTAAAGTTCTCAACCAATATCTTTCAATATCTTTTGGACTTACAAAATACATTCGAGAAATTAAAGGTTTGGTAATCCGTTCTCTTTTTTTCCAAGTTTTTGTTTGTTGAATGAATACATAATTGTGTGGTATTTCTGAATATAAATATTTGTGTGCCTCAGGATCTTTTTTATTTAACTCAAACCATGCTGTTAATGTCGTATTTTTAAATGTGTCAATTGCCTTTTGTTCCATTCCTTCTGTGAAGCATATTGTTTGATGATCAGGTAAATGTACAGCTAATCTATACGTTGCATGTGATTGTTCATGCATATTAAATTCGAGTAGTCTATGCATTGCTTCTGGTGGACATACATAGCGTGTGTTTAAATAATGTTGCGGTTCATCATAATTCATTACCTGATTATTATCCTTAATACCTACTATCGCACAATCATGACCTTTATAACAATATTTAAATAAATATTTAACACCACCTATGCTACCGCATGCTACAACATTAATATGACAAGCAAATTTTTTACTTAAATATGGATTATATGGCACAATCATTGAATTGTCTGCAGTGCATTTAATTGAACCATCTTTGTTATAAAATATAATTTTTCTGCCATCATTTCTTCGTCTATATTCTGGATAATTTTTCGAATAATCTGTTTCTGAAGTAAATGGTTTCGGATAATGTTTAGTGCAAACTTTTGTTTCAGGATTCATGCACGGTGAATTCATGTTTTGCTTTCCGCAAGGTCCATGAACTTGAAATTGTTTTACAATGTTAAAAAGTTCTGGATGTTTTGCTTCATCAGGAATTTCTGCACAAATTATTTTATCAACAGTTTCTGCATCACGAATAGCATGTGATTGATCTAAAAAGACAATTAAATGTACATGTGGTAATCCACGCTTTTGAAATTCTATCACATATACATAAGCAATAACTGGTCCAAAAATTTGGTTGTCTTTTAATTCAATCATTAGCGCTTTTACTTTTTGTTGGAAAACTCTTGCAACAATATCTGGCCGATCAGATGCAGTTTCACCACATAACAAATTTTCTGTAATTTCACACCATTTCGGATTACATGTCATGGTAATAAATAAATCTGGTTTTCCAAATTCTTGAACTAATCGCATGGCATCCATAAAAAATTGTTGGTAAGAACGTGGTCCACCAGTAAATGTTGATGGTAAAACAATTATTCTTCCTGGTCGAACATTTTCTTCTGCAGCTTTATTATATAAATAATCCATCAATCCACAATACAATTCAGCTCGAAGTTTTTTTTGATTCGAATATATGTAACTGATACGCAAACCTTCCACTTTCGACCAAAAATCAACTATCAGTTGTTGAGTTAATTTGCCCATTTGCAAACAAGGATTAAATTTTCCTCTATAAGAAAGACGAAAAATGTAAAACTGTAAAAGAGTAACATCACGATCAGTGCCTCCTTTCTGTTTTATATTTACTGTCCATCCTGGATCACCTGCAGGAAACACTAACGGATATATCATGGGATCAGCATTTGCACTGAGATTGTGAATAGGAATACTTTTATCATTTCTTGGATGTATACATATATCACGTTCTACTGGAGGTTCACCATCTTCACTAACGAATACAACTGCCACCTCATTACAAGACGGAACATTAAATTTGCTTTGATTCAATGATCTGTCTCTTTTTATCCACATTTGAATATCTCTCATAGGTTCATTTCGCAATTTCGCTCGTATTTCTTCTTCTAATTCTACTTCTCTCATCATTTTAAATGCTTTAGCGTAAGGATTAATATATCTCAACAATTCGTCTATTTCTTTCATTAATGATGGTAAAAATTTCTTGTTAGAATCATGTTTCAATCGTTCAAGAACTGCTTGATTAGTATCAAGAATGTATAGTTGTCCATATTTTCGACTTTCACTATTATTAGGATGAAGATCGTATGTATTGTGATACACTTGTCCATGTATACGAAAAACAAAAGGACCTCTTCCTTTAGGAATTTCTAATTTAGCTCCCATGCTGGCAAAGGCGGATGCACTATTATACGAACGAATATTCTCTCTAAAATTTTTACCTTCAGAGCTAGAATCAAATAATAAATTGTGTAAATAATCTGGATAAGGACTTAAATCATTTAAAATAACTTTTCCCTTATGGCAGCAAGAGTTAAATAATTTATCTGCTGGCAATTCACTCAAAAAATGTAACGCACCGCAAAACTGACACACAACATTCATCAAACCTAAGTAATTTTGAGAAACTATACTTTCTTCAAAAGCTTCGAGGGACTTAATTGCAACACCCGTGGTTTCCAATTTTTTATTGTTTTTCTTATTCCTTTTACTTTGTGAACATTTTTCTTGTCGTTGTTGCTTTTTTTCTTCATTTTCTAAAAATAATTGCTTTGTTTTACATAGCAAATTTTTTTCTTGACGCTCTTTCTTTTCATCTTCTGTTTCTTTAGATAATTTTTTTTTTTTGCATATCAAATCTCTCTGTTGGCGTTCTTTTTTTTGAACTTCCATTTCTATCTCTTTACTATGACGTTTCTTTAGTCTATCATTTTCTTTTCTAATTATTTTCTGTTCATCCGTTTCTTCACGCCTTGCCTTCCTCATTCTTTCTTTAGCTTTCATTGCACGAAGGATCTTTTTATCATTTTGTTTATCTAGAGGATTCTCAATTTCTGGATGTTTAACTAATGAAACATTTTTAACATTATCACTAGTTACACGAAGTTTCTTCTTTTCATTTTCATCATTTAAAGAGTGCTTGATATTTAAATGTTTATCTGATAGAACTCTCTTTAAATTATTACGTGGGGGAATCTCAGAAAAACGAGAAGGGTTTGGTTTACCATTTTGAATTCGGTCTCTAAAAAAACTATTCTCGACAATCAAATGTCTAATATTAGACGCTCTCACTGACGGAAAAGGAGTTAGACGATTATCTTTATACATTGTTTCTAAATGATTTCTCATCGCATTATTACGAGTCTTATAATTAACAGTATTTGGCATTTCGTTAAAAAGTATAGATGTTGCAAACGCTATCGAATAAACTCCGCACTCAAGACTACCTAGAGGTTGTTGATCAACATCTACAAAAACTACTTGTGGGTGAAATGGAAACAATCTACTTAAATAACTTTTATGATCATCAGTCAAACGCCTTTCATTAACACTATCAAAAACATTCAATCTCACTCCATCGTAATAAGTACAAATCCAATGTCCCTTATTAGCAAAACCACTAAAAAGTATTTGAATATGTCTTTGACCTTCTCTAATCGGAACAATGAATTCAGGAGTTTGTAAAAGCAATGTACTTTGCATATCAAAAACAGAATTTGACTGAATTCGTAATAATTCTTCAAATTTAAACATATGGTTATCATTCAACATTCTTCCATACGTTTTTAATCTTTCATAATCTTTAATACTTAAAGCAATATACCTTGTCTGGACGTTGGCCATTATATTGTTTGTCAAAAAATGTACCAATGATGTTTTTCAAAACAAATCTTCTTTTTCAGCTTCTTAGCTAAAATAATAAATAATTCCTATGTTTTTCACGTATAAAAAATCAATTAATAACTAATAATCAGATAACACGAACACAAAATATAACGTGTCTCATTCTATCATTAATTATGAAAAATTATAAATAAAATTTATAAAGGGCATCCGGGAAAAATAATAGTTTCGTGATCGCGCTCTCATTTAAAAGGAAAAGAATATTATTCTCTATTATACTATTATCACAGTAAATCGTGAGGTATTAAAAAGTGTTGCAGATTAAATTAACACCAAAAAAGATTAAAATAATCAATATTGGTGTTATTTTTTACAATTAATAAAATTTTAGTTCATTAAATTTTTTTATAACTATAAAACATGAAGATATCGATGATTTCTTCATGTTTTATAATAATTAAAAATGACCGACTGACAAAATCATTATTTTATACCTATTATAATAATATTGTACTTCTTCAAAATTATTTTCATTATTTCAATTCAATTTTTATTTTCAAAAATTTTTAACTACAATTTTACTTTATATCTATTATTTTTAATAATTTTCGAAAAAGTTCTTTGGCAATTTTCAAATCCATTTGTTTACAAAATTCAATTTCAAGAAATTGCAATTAATCCTAAATTCTTTAATTAAATGCATATTAGAAAATAAAAACTTCAAATAATAAAAAAAAAAATCAATTAAACTTTTTCATGAAAATTAATTTCAAAATTCAATTATTTCTAAAAATTCACGCTAAATTGCTTTTAATATTCAATTATAATCTAAATTATAATCTATAATTTTAACTAAAATTCATTTTTATGAAATGAAAATCAATTTTTATTAGAAAATTCTACAAGAATTTAATTATTTAAATGCAAAAGTAAATAATTTATTGAATAATTGAATGTTTCTCAAAATTCAATTCTCATAAAGAATTTTATTAACAAATTTTTAAATAATTAAATTCTTTTGTCGAATTTTATTAAAACTTGCATGAACATAATTACTTTTTTCAAGAAATTCAATTATAATTGTATGAAAAAATAATTGAAACGCTGCAATGAGTTTTATGAGAATTTTCAAATTCATTCGTTTACAATTCAAACTTACAAAATTTCAATTATTCGAAAATTCTGCAATTAAATATATATTGAAAAATAAAAATTATTCAATTATGTACAAAAATTGAAAAATATTCTCGTCAAAATTTCAATTATTTTTACAAATAATAAAATTTTTTAAAATACAATTATTTTCACAAATTTTAATAAAATTCTTGTCAAAATTTCAATTTTTTTTATTTAATAATAAAATTCTTCGAAATTCAATTAATTTCAAAAATTTTTTAAAAATCCTTTACAAGAATTCAATTATTTTTGCAAATAATAAAATTTGTCACAAGAATTCAATTATTCTCGTAAATAATAAAATTCTTCGGAGAATTTCTATTATTTTCAAAAATTTTAATAAAATTTTTCGCAAGAATTCAATTATCATCGCATAAAAAATGCAATTCTTTGGAAGATTTTAATTATTTTCATTATTAATAAAATTTTTGGAGGATTTCAATTATTTTCAAAAATTTGAAACATATTCTTGTCAAGAATTCATTTTTTCAAAAATAATTGAATTCTTATCAAAATTTCAATTATTTTCAAAAAAATTTTTAATAAATTCTTGTTAAGAAATCCTTTCAAAGTAAAATTCATCGCAAAAATTATTTTAAAAATTATTTAAAAACTTTAAAAAAAATTCTGAGAAGAATTTAATTATTTTCTACAAATTTTAATAAAAATAAAGTTAATTTCAAATAAATTTTTATTAGTAAATTCTACGAGAATTCAATTATTTAAATACAAAAATAAATCATTTTTTTAATTTCATGTTTCTTGAAATTAAATTCTCATAAAAAATGTTATCAACAAATTTTTTAAATCATTAAATTTTTTGGACGCATTTTAATAAATTTTTTTAAGAATAATTACTTTTTTCGAGGAATTCGATTAAAATTGCATTAAAGATAATTGAAATTCTGCAGTGAGTTTTATATTTTATTATTTATGAAAATAATTCAATTCTTAAAAGAATTTTATTATTTATAAAAATAATTGAATCCCTGTAAAAATGTTATTATGTATTTTTGAAAATAATTGAATTATTGCGAAGAAATTTATAAAAAAATTGGTAAATAATTGAATTCTTGTAAAAAATTTTCTTATTTATGAAAATAATTGAATGTTTGCGTAGAATTTTATTCAAATTTTTTTTAATAATGTAATTCTTTTGGAAAATTTGATTGAAATAGTAGATATTGAAAATCATTGAATTGAGGAAAATTGCTAAAAATAATTGAAATTTTACCAAGAATTTCATTATAATATTTGAAAAGAATTGAATTTTGGAGAAGAATTTGATTATTTTTATTAAGAAAATTGGAATTTTTACGAAAATTTTAAAAAATTTTTTACCGTAATTTATTGAATACTTGCAAGGAATTTAAAATAACAGAAATTCTGAAAAGAAATTTATATCAAATTTGAATAAGAATTGAATTCTTTCGAGAAATTTTGTTAAATAAATAATTTAAATACTGTCAAGAAATTTATAAAAAAATTTGTAAATAATTGAATTCCTGCAAAAAATTTTATTATTTATGAAAATAATTGAATTTTTGCGCAGCATTTTATCCAAATTTTTTTTAATAATGGAATTCTTTTGGAAAATTTTATGGAAATAGTAGGTATTGAAAATCATTGAATTTTAGAAAACTTTCGAAAATAATTGATATTTAGACAAGAATTTGATAAAAATTATTTTGTTAAATAATTGCAAATAACAGAGAAGAATTTTATTATTTATAAAGAGAATTGAAATTTTGACGAAAATTTTTTTTTTAATTTTTGAACACAATTGAATTTAGTAACTATGTTACTAAGTTAGTTAGTAAGTTACAAGTTAGTAAGTAACTTACTAACTTACTATTCTCCCTGGAGGAGCTAAATTCGTTGAAGTTTTACAAATCGTTGACTTTGGTGTTTTATTTAAAGTAAAATTTCATTCATAGTTAAAAATAACACCAAAATAGATTATTTTAATCCTTTCTGGTGTTAATTTAATCCTAGAGGGATTAAACTGTTGCAGATTGTTTTAATCCATTCTGGTGTTATTTTAACACTTCACCTTTCACTGTGATTCTCTAAAATTCAAATATTGTAAAAAATTAATAAAATAATTAAAAAAGAACAATTTTATTTTTAACATAATAAAAAAAAAAATTTACAAGAATACCAAGTTCAAATATACTTTGAAATGCAATTATTTTTAAAAATAAATTAATTTTTGGTGTAAAATAATTTTAAAATTCAATAAAATTTAAAACAATTGAATTATTTTTTTCATTTTTGAAAAATTGATTGATTTTATTCAGAGTAATTAAAATTTTTATTAGAAACAGAATAAATTAATTTTTGAATTGATTAATAATTGTTTTGTTGATTTTTGAATAACTGAAGCTTTATTAAATTGAATAATTTTAAAAATTGCATTTTTCATTAATTTCATTTCAGATTAATTGAATTGCTTTGAAAACAGAATAATGTAATTTTAATGTTTTATATTGATTTCTGAATAATTAAAATATAAATTAATTAACGGTTTATAACAATTACATTTTTCATTAATTCAGACTTAATTAAATTGTTTTTAAAACAGAATAATGTAATTGTAAATTGATTGTTTTATTGATTTTTGAATAACTGAAGTTTAAGTTAATTAATTAACTGTTTATAACAAATGCATTTTTCATTGATTTCGGAATAATTGAATTTTTTATTTAAAACGAAATATTTTAATTTTTAATTAATTGTTTTTTGATTTTTGAATAATTAATTAATTATTATTTTGAACAATTACTCATAATAGCAATAACAATAAAAAAAAGTACACGCACTAAAGGGATTGCTCTTCCCAAAAAATTTAGACTCTAGATCCTCCACTGCATAAGTTAATAATTGAATTGAAGATTAATTAATTCTTTGAAAAACTAAATATTAAAAAATTCATTATTTTGAATAATTAATTTAATGAAAATAATTTAATTTTTAATTGATTCTGGAATAATTGAACTTGAAATGGGTATTTTTAGGAACTAATGTTTTTTTACTAAACAGTAATATTACTGGCAGTAACTGCCAGTAATTTACGAAAACGACCAATGTAATAAAATTTAGAACTATAGTATTTTTTATTGATACCAGAAAATTGAGTTTTTAAATTAAATTAAATTAATAATAAATAAAAATAATAATAAGATATACGAATAATAAATTTAATTAAGAAGAAAATTTTAATTAATAATTAGAACTTACCAATCTACAGTTTTTTTCCACTGAAAACAATAACCTCCCTTTCGCACGATCGCCTGATACCAGAGATTTCACGCACAATATTCTTCCAAGTCACTATTTATCGTTTTTGAAATACACCCACTACACTGATATTATTATTAACAAATTTTATCACACTAATGATAAATTTGACAACATAAAATCGAAAATAGCAATCGCGACGCGTCATTTACGATTAAAAATTTCTTTTCTAGATGTCAAAACATGTCACGAAAAATATAAACAAACAAAAAAATCATGATAATAATTCGCAAATGATAACTAACAACCAACTTCATACTGCGAACAGAACGAATGAAAAACCACAGAGATTAATATAGTTAATGTTGTATCTGAATGAAAACATAATTTGATTTCAAATGTTCCGGATTCATTGAGATTGATATATAATAGAAAATCGATGAAAAATAAATTTTCTCCTTATTTAGTTATTAATAGAAATTTATTTTTTTTTCCAGTGAAATCCTGTATAGAAATATATATTCTTGGACAATTTTACAAGAAGCAGCTCTCGATTAGTCACAGACAATCAACTTGGGAACCCAAGCGTCTTAAGAGATTCAACCTCCTTTACGGTTGTGATCAACCGTTAAATTTTTTTCTGCCTCGTTATCCAAAACTTAATCGGAAATGATGCTCTCCTAATGTCATGAAAACTCAATATAGAGATTTTTTTTCTCTTACGAATTGACGATGAAAACTCAATCAGAATTCTAATTATATTCTCTATAAATAAATTCGAGTTCAATTTTAACTTTTAATTTTAACAAATAAAATTAAATTTCAGAAGTTTGAAAAAATATTCGGAGAAAATTTTCATTTATCCAAATTTTCAATTCGATCAAAATCTATTTGGTTTTGTTATCATTAATCTTAATAATTGAATTTAATTTCGATGAATGCAAATTTTTCAAATTTGAATTTTTAAAATGATTTTTATGAATTAAAAAGAATTATTTAAAATACTTGAAAATTCGAAAAGTTTGAAAAGAAAATAATGTTCTTTTGGGAAAAGAGGGAATTGTTTCTTTTATAAATAAATACACATGAGTTTCGCATGTCTTTTCCTATTGGTCCATTTTCGTGTGTTTATTAACAGCTTCTGGGGGCAATTAACGGTTGTAGTTGAAATGCAAGAAAAAGAAATGGAAGAAGGGAAATTTCACTTGTAGACCTCGTGTAGTAATACATATTAGAGAAGCACCATTCGCGTCTGTGGTCCGTAACGACAAAGCGATTTTGGAATTCCGGACATTTGTAATTCCGTCTTTTGACATTGTTCCTAGACAGTGTTTACGTTTATCGGACAGAAGTTGAGGAAACATTGGCAGTAGGCCAGCGTCAACCAGAAAGAGAGAAAGACATCGTAAATTTGTCTACCTCCGTTAAAACAATTCTATATTCCAAAACGAAAGTCTATAAACAATCGCCAAACAACGATTCTGTCAAAATAAATAAATAAACCAAGAAATCTTTCATTTATAAAACAAAAAAAAAAACGAAAATGAAAAAAAAATCGAATCATATTTTTTTATCAATAAATTATGCGTTTTTAATTTGTAAAATATATTTTTATTTGTAAATTACATTTTTAACTAGAAAATTAGAACTTTTATTAGTAAATAATATTTTTTATCAGTAAATAATATTTTTGATTAGTAAATAATATTTTTAATCAGTAAATTATATTTTTTGTTTGTAAATTATAGTTTATAAATTTAGGTAAATTATATTTTTAATGAGTAAATTTATTAATTTTGAAAAAAATATAATTTATACAGACCTCGGACTAAATTTCGAAATGAAATATAAATTAGTAACAAAAGTATTAAAATTGGACCAAAAGGGCTGTAGATAGTCGCACATTGTTCATTAAAAAATAATAAATATTTGTTTTGTGTTTAAATAATTTAAATAATTTTTTTCTTTACTAAATGAAAAATTTGCAATTTGGATTTATTAAAATTTTGTACTATACAGAAAAAAACAAATATTAATTATATAATAATTCATTTCAAAAACGTTAAAATTAATATAAAAGAAACAATTTCGAAAAATAAAAATTATAAACAAAATTTTTAAAACATTTGAAACATGTTTTAAACTTTGTCGAGAAAATTGACTTTCTGTTTACAATTTTCACAAAATTAAATATAAAAATCTACGAATTATAATAATTCTGTTAATTTTCAATAATATTTCAACTTTATTAAATTTTCTTGACAAGAATTCAATTATTTTCATATCTAATGAAATTCTTCGCAAGAATTCAATTATTTTCATAAATAATGAAATTTTTAGCAAAAATTCAATTATTGATATAATTAATAAAATTCTTAGCAGGAAATCAATTATTTTAAATAATTTTAATGAAATTCTTCGAGAGAATTTTATTATTTACAAAAAAACTTGAAAAGATTCAATTATTTTTATAAATAATAAAATTCTTAGTAGAAATTCAATTACTTTGAAATATTTTGATAAAATTATTTAGGGGAATAGAATTATTTCTATAATTATTAATAAAATTGTAAAGAGGATTTTAATTATTTCAAAGAATTTTAATAAAATTCTTCGCAAACATTTTATTATTTTTAAAAATTTCAATAAAAATTCTTTAAAAGAAAAAAATTTAATTAAATAATTTGAAAAAAATGTAATTCCTTTTCTAAAATAATAAAATTCTTAGCAGAAATTCAATTATTTCGAAAAATTCTGATTAAATTATAAATAAAAATTGAATTATTTCCATAATTAATAGAAATCTTCATAGAAATTCAAATATTTTCAAATATTTCTTTACAGAAATGCAATAGTTTTATATAATTTTAATAAAATTGTACGAAATAATTCTATTATTTACAAAAAAACTTGCAAAGATTCATTTATTTTTATAATAATAATATTCTTAGAAAAAATCTGATTATTTTCAAAAATTCTAATAAAACTCATAGCAAGATTTCAATTATTCTTCATAAAGAATAAAATTTTTTTTTCGAAGTTTAATTAGTATAAAAAATTTGCATTAAATTCCTTATAAGAATTCAATTATTTGCACAATAATTCTTTGAAAAAATGATTGAAAAAAACTTTCAAGATAAAGAAATTCTTAAGATAGAATTCAGGAAAGAAATTAAAAAAAAGTTTGGGTCAAAAACGAATTTATGAAAAAATTAATATCTGCATTTTTTACCTTTATTTTAATAAATTAAATTATAATTTAGTTTAATTTTTAATTTCATTTACTTTCAGTTTTTAAAACAATTCGATACTATTTAAAGTTTTTGAAAATAATTGAATTTATTAAAAGAATGTATTCATAATATCAAAAATTAATTAATTTTTCTGAAGAATTTTAATTAAAAAATTTTGAAAATAATTGTTTTCTTTCTAAATTTCTTTTTTTAAAAAATATTTTAATATAATTTTCATTAATTTTTGATTTTCAAATTTCCATTGGAAAATTTTTCATTCAAGTTTTTTCGAGAATTTAATTATTTTCAATGTTTTCAATTAAAATTCATTAAAATTCGATTTTAAAAAAATTGTAATTAAAAATACTTTAAAAATAATATCTAATCAATTATTTTTATTCAGATTTTCCGCAAAAATTAAATTATTTAAATTTTAAATTCTTTTAATTGTATATTTCGAAAATTTTATTATCTTATAAACATTCTAATCAAAAATAATTTTTGAATGATTTGAATATTTATTTTTCACACTATAAAAATTGAAATAATTTGCATTTATACTGAAAAAGTACAAAAATTCGAGACGTGAATAGAAATTAAAATGAAAAAAATTACAAATTCTTCAAAAATTAGTGGTTTTTTGTCCTAAATTCAGGATTTTTAATTGCGGTACTGAGAATTTTTCAATTTTTCGATTAATTGATTAAAAATTCAAAAAATTGCGAGAAAGAAAAAGAGAAGCCAAATGCGGAATTTTTCAGAGGTTGGATTTGAATTTTCAATTTCGTTTAAAATAATTGTATTTAAAGATACAAAATGTTTGGAAAATTTCAAAAAATTGCGGAAAAAAGAGAAGAAGAAAGATTTCTTTTTCAAAATATTAGCTAAAAGTTGCATAAAAGAAAAAAATTTTTCAAAAAGTATGATAATAGTTGACGTGAGTCTGAAAACTGCGCTTATATTAAAAATGTTTTCACGGAAAAAAATTAATTAAAAACAAAAAAAGAATGTAGAATATAATTTATTTTTTTGTAAATCAGGAAATTATTCAATTTGGTTGGTGCGGTATAATTATGCTTTTGTATATATGTTGAGAGAAGGGAGAAAGCGAAAAGTTTTTCAAGTAAGCCGAAAAGTGATTCGCACTTAAGTCGTTTCGAAAGTACGAAGTGCTCGTTTAGCGTAATATTTTTTTTTCTTTTTGTTCTCACTCCTTGCGCCATTTGTGTGTCTGTATTTGTGAGAGAGTTTGCGGGCTGAAAACGTTATGGAAGTGGGTTTTTGCTTCTTCACCCTGAGTCGTTCTCTTGGCTCTTGTAATGATCTTAAGACCAACTCTATTCGTCTTTCTCACTCGTATATATACCGTGCGCCATAATTCATAACTTAACTGCTTACTCTTCCTCCGTGACCATCCTCTTTTCCTCTCTTTCATTCTCCAACTATCCTCGCTAATATTTCCACCCTTACACAAGAGACTCACTCTCTCTCTATTAGCCACCTTTGATTATGCGGATGTGTTTATATTATATATTCGACCTCCGAGGAATTAAACTCTTGATTTTATGTTTATATTCCGGAATATTAAATTTATAGATACCTTCGAGAATTTTTCTTTTTTCACTTCTTTCTTCTATCATTTTGAATTTTATTCGAATTTTCAGGGCTCGAACTAAGTCCGTAAATTCCGTCCGAATTTTACTTTTCTCACTTCTTTCTCCTATCATTTTAAATTTCATTCGAATTTTCAGGGCTCGAACTCCCGTAAAGGTTCGTTTTGCTTGAAGTCCGTAATGGTCAGTTTTTTTTAAAAAAAGTTGCATTTGATTGAATTTGATTGAAAAAGGGCGAAAAATTTTTGTAAATTGTACGATTTTGGAGAATTTTAGAGAAATTATAAATGATTGCAAAAATTCAATTATTTTCAAAAGTAATAAAATTTGTCACACAAAAATAACGTTGAAAAATTTTTTTAAATTCTCGTCAAAACTTCAATTATCTCTAGAAATAATTTTATTCTTCTTCAAAATTCAA